CAAAATGTTTTACAAATAATATCAATAATTTTTGAAGTAATGTTGGTCCAACATTAGATAATATGATCGACCAATGTTGGCCAACTGACAGTTGTACCTTAGGACAATGTTAAATGTCTTTTTACGTTAGCCAATCACAGCACTAGCGCATAGCTGAAAGTAATATTATACTCAACCTTTTCTGCACAAAATGTCATTAAATGACTCTTCCGTCAGGCTACCAGAGTTCAACTCAGTCAGGACAGACTCGATCAAATATTTGAAAATGAATTGATTTTCAACATCCATACTGGTGATCTGGTTTATAAATACAGCCACATTCTCACACTGTGTTGCTCCATAAAGCAAAAGTGTGATCATCTGTTAATTGAAAGAAAATAGAAATTAATATTGAAAATGTTTATAAGATGACAGAGTGCACAAGACACAGCAAACACAGTATTTTAATGTACTTTACTTTTACCCTAAGTGTAAGGAAAATGAGCTCAACAAGAAATGGAAAGACTTCACTAATGGCCAGACACCGTCTTATACATTGTATATTCAGGGTGCCAATTGAAAAAAAAATTGCGTAGGCAGCTGGTATGAAGCATAGCCAACCATGTTAATAAAGTTTGAAAGCTATGAGCTGACTTTTATTAAAGTAGCCAAGGATATATATATATTTTTTTTTTTGCAGGGGTGGAGGGGACGTTGTTGTGATTTGAACAATAAAACTGAGGAGTTATTAGGCATGGGAATTAAATCATTCACAATGGGTAAAAGCGAGAAAATAAATGGAAAATTTAATACACACCTTTCCTATCTCTAACTCATCCCTTTTCTCCAGATTTTCAGCGTCTACAACAGTGGTAATGTCAAAGTGATGGAAGCCTAAAAAATATTGTTAATAACTAAATTTGAAAATTCGTCATAAACATTATTAAAAATTATTATAATATTATCATTATATTAATGTGAAAGAAAATTATAGTATTAATAATATTAATATTACTGTGGTATTAGGGCATAGTCAGATTGTGACTTGAAACCTTGTTATAAATTAGCAGTTCTTGAGTAAGATGATAAAGATGAATTAAAAGAATATTAAAAATTAAAAATTCAGTTGATGTTTTTACACGGCAAACATCAGGAAGTCTCTACATTTTAAGATTGAAAATAAAATCAGACATTTTTTAAAGAATGAATTAGAATATTAAAAGTAAAATGCTAAAATAATTTGTTTATGAGTGATACTCCATTAATGACATGCATGTAAATGCTGCTGATGTTGATAATGAAGATGTGAATGGTAAGTAAGTCTCTAGAACAAAGCCAGATTTAAAGACTAATAATGTTGTATGTTGATGGGAAAAATATTTTGTAGTAAAATAAAAGGGGGGCAGGGGCCCGGGAGAATACGGGGGTGGAAGGGTCGGAGGGGTACTGAAGGTGGGAGTTCTCTAAGAGCAAAAGACGGAAGAAATAGGGGGAATTTAGCACAGTGCTTAACATTTTGCAATTGCAAAAGGACCAGGGGAGGAAGCCATGAAAAAAAGGGACAGGAGCCGAAAATACAAGGCATAGCTGGGAGGCAGGAGGTTTAGACCCCCTGTCTCCCGCCCCATTTGTTTGTGTCTGTAAAAGGGCCCCACTGGTTATGGGCCCCAAACACTTACCAGCTACAGTACACCAACACACATGTTGAACAGAACCTAAAAGCGAATGCAATGAGCTTCCTCACCTCCAAGATAAGAGATGATGAGGGACAGAACTTGTTCAACGTCAAATACATCACTGTCACTTGGCAAATCTTTTGCTGTTTCTTTGTCACTAGAAGGTTTTATCAAAAAGACATTTACTTAAGCTTAATTACCATGTACGGGGGTATGTGACTATAAAGAAGGCTGGCTGTCTTTCAAATATAAACAGTAAATTTTAGTGGCTTACTGAGAATGATAATGTTTTATATATCCGTGCTTACATTAAATGAAGAATGTCCAGCAGTAGATTTTTAGCGCCGTCGTCTGTGATTTGCCTAACTTTTTGACCATCACTTGAAGCATTTGAGTTGATCTGCAACATATGGGAAAGAATTTGATGATCTGAAGTGGATGCCTTCCTCTCAATTTAACAAAACAAGTAAGCTTTGATTGTAAACTTTGGCTTCGGTCGACGTAAATTGCAATGATTCGAAGCAGTGAAGAAATCGAAGATCGCATGGCGCCGCACTTACCCAGTCAAGTAGAAATCTGGAGTTAGCTGGATTCATTTTGTAACCCCAAAAGTTCGAAAACTATCTCCAAACAGCATTAAATCCTCTTTATCATGCAAAAAACAGACTGAAAGATCGACGGATCTACCGAATGTACAGCGTATTTGGCGGTTGATTTTGAATTCAGAAGCCTGTCCCATAAGCCTCAACGGCCTGAACTCGCCTTGTAACCAAGCCTGTTGGATAGGATTTCCTCCACGGGTTTTGCAAGATTGTTTTATGAATTTATTGAGCAATTTTTGACTCACTTATTAGACGTGATTGAAGGAGATAACCCAAACACTTGTGAGAAACTTATCTCAGACAATTTTAGCGGGAATGGGCTGTTGTTGCAGTAGCGAGGATGAACCAGACGGTCAAGTAAGTTTGATGTTCCTTTGCGTTTTCACAGTGTCATGTGATTGTCATCGTAATTTTCAGTGCTCTGATTATTTTGTTCCATGTAAGCTATTTGTGATTATCAATCGTATTCTTCCATGTTTTTCTCTTCGATCCTAGAGAACAGCACGCTTTCAAGCAAATTGTTCCCACATAAATGATTAAAAAACTGTACTTCGATCACATGTATGATATTTTTCGTTGTTCCGAAAGTCCGCACATGGTGATTAAAGCTCATTTGGTTAGGTTGTTGATACAGACAAATCATTCCGTTTTCTGTTGTGACTATTTTTTTTTTCGGGAACAAAGAGAACTCTTAAGATTAATTAACTGGACTAAATAACAAAAACTTTCAAGAGGTTAATGTACATGGGTGCGTGTAAAGACAGGAAACTGTGCCGTGACCCTACAAATTATGAATGAGCAACAGTCTTTTGCAGCAGAATCGGAAATAAAACTTTGATGCTTGCTTGCATGTTTGCTAGCCTAGATTGAGTTCCATGTTTAATGCAGATTTGCACAGGTATACAAATGATTTCATCACATTCTTTATCACGCACAATTCAAACAGAGCAGTCTAGAGGCTGGGACGCCTTATGACCAAAATGGAGATCAAAGTGTCAGTCAGCCTCTTCAAAAACTCACTAATAATTCTTAAAGAAAAAATAAAAGAAATTAATGAGTGTCTTTATATCAGATAAAGACATGGCTAAACTTTACGTCCAATTTTTTAGACCAAAATAACCCCAAATCTAAATACATGTATTAGTGCAAGATTAAGTTGATCTACATCAGAGATTTTGAAGTTGTTCAAAAAAATATGTAGTCGTGTATTATCAAGTGTAAAAACTCTTGAGTTCACCTTGAGTTTTTAAACCTGATAATACCACCCTGCTTGTTTTTTAAACAGTGCAAAAATCATTCCATTCCCATATAAAAGCATAATAATAAATATTATTATGTCCTTTGGCTCCTATGAATAATAAGGGAATGGAGTCAAGAGAAATTCTGAATCAAACTACAAAACATCTAGTTTGAATACTGGATTAATCCTTTAAACCCTAAGGTCAAAATTTGAATTCTCCTTTATTGCCCCTATTCATTTCCTACAGACATTTTGGGGAGAAGTTGATAAAGTATCAGGCAAATTCATCTTGTTTGATCATGTGCGTAATTCCCATAACCTCTCTGTTTTACAAAGCATTGATACTACAAGGAGAAATTTGATGCTGATCACTCTTAGGGCTTAAAAGGGTTAACCTGAGATTGGATTTTACCTTAACCAGCTGCACAAAAGACTCCCTTTTAGGCCTGGTGTTAAACAGTCAGAGAGGGCAAATGTTTGAAAGCATGTGAAAATCATGCTTGTTTTCTTGTTTGTTCTTTAAATCCTGGCTGGGCGAGTGGGACTAGCCTATGCACAAAGAAATTCGTATTGAGCCTTAAACTGCGTGATCACAGGTTAGATGTCGTTAAATGATGCCCCGTGTGTCAATCAAACTGCACAGCATGCACAATTTCACCAATCATAGCCAACCTACTTGGTTTGATCCTTACACGTACTTAACAAGTTTGGGAAGCAATTTGTCCCAGAGATTCTTCTACTTACCTGCCCAGAATATTGTAGAGCGAACAAGAAACCTCAACACACAGGGTACAAGAATTTAGAATCATGCTTTCCATTTTTTTTCAAATTTGTCTCCTAACATAGTTCCCTAAGCATTGATTAATATTTTCCTTTCCAACCAGCCATTTTGGCTTCTATGAAAATTCACAGAAAGGGTTATTTGGAGTCCTATGAATAGTGAAAAAAAAACAGTGCAACTAAAATTGAACAGTTATCTCAACACACTGTATCTGGAAACACTCCTAAACGATACTCATGGCAGTCTAGCACAAACAGTGTCTATCAACAAAGTTCTGTTTCAAACTAGCAAAAAAAAATGTTTAGAAAATTGTTTGGTGGTCATTGTAAGGTATGTGGGACAGTAAAGTGTAATTTATTTTTGTAATTCTTTTAGGTTGGTATTGCTTGTTGTCAACTTCTAGAGGTCCTTTTCATGCTTCCATGTACATCTACATAACTAAGACTTGAAAGTGCTTTATTATATTATGTTGCTTACTTCGTACCTCGTTCAATGCCTAGAAGACGACGGGAAGAAAACAGACTCCACAAGGCTCAATCTCTCATACAACTTTCTTGATCTGTAACATTCTCCAGACCCACATCCCTTAACAGTCATGTTTATATATGTAGTTGTCAGACTTCGTCTTTTAACCTTCCAATGTGTAGGCACCCATGTTATCAGCTGTTGCACCGGGGACTCTCATGATGAAAAATATATATTTACGTGCATGTTTTCATCTACAGAGGCAAGCAAGTGAAAGAGATCCTTTGTTGGGAGGATCATCAGCACCAATAGCTAATGGACAAAGACCTGTGTAAGTTGATTTAGTTTTTTCTATAAAATTGAAGAACAGGGCTGTCACTAAAAGCTTCTCCCTGGCTACTTTGAGCGTTACCCTAAGCTACTTTCACAGAAAACAAAAAGGAAAATAGACCAAAAGAACGTCCTTGCTGTTCATTTCCCCATCTACCAGTTGTATACACCTGACAACTTGAAATCTTAGTGACAGCCTTAAAGAAACTGCAAGTAGAAAATAGAATAACATGTTAACCTGTTGATCAGTCCATAGTTGGTGTACCAGCTTGTCGTGTTGGCAAAACGTCAGGGCTCAAAATAACGGCGGGTCAACAGACAATGTCCGGCCAACATGACCATTTGTCCGGACAAACTTTCAGTTGGCCGGTCAATTGCAGGGCTTTCAAATACATAACTGTAAAAATAAAATTATTCACATTAATTCTGAACATTAAAAAAACAGTTCAGTCATAAAATATTTTAGCTGCTTGCAGTTATAGATTCAGAGAATACATACGGGATAGTCTCATTCTGCGGCTCTGTGAATGCCAGTTAGCGGTTTTCTCAACATTTTGACCTGTTACAAACAAGGCATGACCTTGCTAAAACCTGTTTGGCCAGTCAACATGACCGGCCACTGCCCAAAATGATTTTGAGTCCCAAAACATGTATTAATTTATATCTGTCAGGGCTGTGCTCTAGCAGAGCCCGGTGGCCTGTGGCACCTAACTTTTGCCCTCGGGCGACAAGAAAATCTCAGATTTTTTATACAAATCATATGCTGGGCACCCTAGATTTTACAGCTTCAGAGCACTGGGCTCCCTTCAATTTTCCTTAGACCACAGCCTTGTCTGTAGATCATATATTTTTTGGCATATTACTGATTATAACGATGATGTTGCCAGTAAACAAATGTGACTGTCTTAATAATAATATAATATTATTATTATCTAATGTTGATGTTGCTGTACTGTATTTGCTTTGCAGAGACGATATTCATAATTCCAGCACAGGCCCTATATCCAAGACAGATGAACAGGCTCTACTCAGTAGAATACTTCATCAGACAGCACAGTATGTTACCAGACTGAACACTAAAATTTACCACCTAGGAAAAATATTGTTTGAACTTTTGGAATTGACCAAAGTTTTTGAAAACAAAGTCAAATTCCCAACCTCTGAACAATGAATCTGTTGTACTTTTTGTTGCATGATCGAATTGGCATGACTCTCAGTTGTGTGTGAGAAAATTAAATTCAGGCTAAAATGGTTTCATCCTAAGTTGATTCTCAATTTGCTTTATATCCTAATTTTTTTTTAGGATCATAGATAGTAAGGGCTAGGAAAATTGACCCAGGCTGAAACCATTTTAACCTTTGAACTTTTTTTGACCTACAACAAATCCTCAAGTTACTCTCCTCAGAGTGTTCTTTATTCTTTTTTTGTCACTCAAAGAGTTAGAAAACTGAAGAAGGCTGAAGTCTCCAACAAGGGGTCAAAGAAATATAATAAATAGTATCACGTTACAAAATAAAACTTGCAAACAACTGCTGTTGCAAATTCTAAGTTGCATTGTACACAATTGTCCCTCGTTCTTTTTCAATACAGCGACGTTATAGATGTCTCCTCAATTGAACCTCACAGTATAGAAAGAACAGAGTACATGGAAAGATCAAGACAATACATGTAAGTTTTGGATAGTCACAGTTTGGACATCATCTAGTCAATTATTTTTAGTTTTGCGTAGATGTCCTGTTTCTCTTATCATCAAAGTAATACTGGTAAATATCATTGATTTCTTAGGGCCAAGCTATCAGGTGTTAATAATTCCAACATTCAAAGTGCTACTGAACTTCCAGCTGGAGTTAAGGTCCCACAGTTAGTTCTTGCAAGTGAACCTGTTCCACAATCAGATGTAGCCTTTGTAAGTATTGTTCTGGTCTGTACAGTATCTAAACATACCTGTTGTAGGAATGAATGGTATTGATTCCCAGAAATGAAGCAGCTCTTCAGCCATATGTTTTGCATATGTGGGGCTTATCTACCGAGGGAAATTTGCTTTTCAAAATCGATTGAGCTAGCCTTATAGTTGAAAGGAAATTTACCCTTTTTGCTTTCTTTTGAATTTGAGGGCAATTTCCAAGTACAGGCCCGGGAGGGGGGGGGGGGGCTTATATTTGGAGGGGCAATTTAACAGAGGGTTTTTTGCGTTATGAGTTTGGGGGCTTATATTTGAAGGGGCTTATACATGGAAGGGCTTATTTTCGGAATTTTACGGTACAATACGGGGTTGTCGCTAAATACAACAAGTGGGCGGGGAATCAAACACCGAGGGGTTTCTTTTGGTTCAAGTTTTCTTCTGTTTTCCAACAAAAGTAGCCCAGGGCCACACTCATAGTAGGCGGGGGAAGGCCCCCGGCTCTTAATGACAGCCCTGTGATAGTTTGTGACTGGGGATGCAGAAAAGTGTCCATTGTCCTTATTAAGCAGTGTTTGTGTCCATAGAGTGGTCAGGGATCCACTGTATTCACTCAATGTAACTCTTGTGAATGAATTCTCATTTTCAGGTGATAAGAGCTGCAAAAGGAGCAGATGCATCTCTATCCGGCTTCCATGTTGAACCCAGAGATGCATTGGTGGTAGAGTTTGAATCATCATAGTCTTAATCCTAAGAAGTAGCCGATATTCAAATATTTATTAAAATTCCAACTATATAATGCATTCCATGCTAGTAATGAAAATGAGTTTCACAGTGAACTTCCTACCATGGAAATTGTGACCAGTGAAAGTTAAGAAAAGGGGGAAACTTCTTTGTTTTTGTTTTCCCCATTTCCGTAATTTTTTGAAGGCGGATGGATTCCAAAGATAGATTTAAAGGGGCTGTGTCACGAAATTTATCAAAATTCAAACAGTGAAATCTGTTACTAAATTGAGTGAAACATGAAAATAACTGCTCAAAGCATTAAAAGAAGGTATTAACAACGCAGAAAATACAAAAGTAGGCGTGGATGGACAAACTTGAAGAAGATTGAAACCGATTGCAATTGTGGTTTTGAAAACTTGTTATCCTGACAGTTTTTTAACGTTCATTTTTGTTGTTTTTAACGTTTGATATAATGCTTGGGTGACAATTTGTTTGACACGAAACTGTGGTTTTGTCATTCACAAGTAATTTCTCAAGTTCCTTGGCAAGCAAGGACGTGTAATTGGCATCATAAACAAAATGAAATAATAAGCCGTGACACAGCCCCCTTTAGTGAAGAGGCACAATCAACAGCCATAGCTCTTGCTTCACCAAAGTCTGCAAGCTTTAGCTAGTCCAGTCTGAAATGTCATGTGTCTCCCCCCCCCCCTAACCCGTGGGGGTGGGGGAAGAGAGACCGTGCCCCCCACGGGTGAGGGGGTGAAGACGTATGACATTTCAGACTATAGCCGGTCAAAAATCCCCGCCCGTGTCACCGTTCGAAATTCTTGAAAGTGATCCTTAAGTATCATACGTGCAATGTGGTAAACATTTGTGTACATCTTCGGTAATGAAATTACGTAAAAGAATGGCTCAAAGTAATTTTTTTTAATTAAACTTAAAAAGAGAAGAAAAAAAAAGAAACGAAAGATGGTCAATAAGCAATTCGACTTAAGATACTTTACGAGAGTCTTAGGTATAAGCTAGTGTAGATGATAATTTGAATGCGACAGAAAAAATTACCAAAAAAAACCACAAGATTAGGGGCCTGTGGTTCTTCTGGAAAACCCTTTCCCAGGGTGCTCCTACGTTGAGGATGGCAAGACTGAGCTGGAATTTCACAGCTTTATTTCGTCGTGTCTCCTAACAAATAACTCACTTAGAAATAAAGTCGGTTCTCTATCGGCGTCAGGTGACAAAATTCTCTGAAATTTTGGGAATATGCGGTAGGCCTTTACAGCGGTTTCGTCACATCAACGGTGGATACATCTTACATGATTCTCATCACCATCCTAACGCGGAGAAGGGACTGGGAAGGAGGTTTTTATTTCACCTTGCAAAGTTAAATATTTAATTGAGAAAAAAATCGCGGACTTAATTGTAGTCTAGAGCCTAATACCAATTGAGATTGCGTTGAATCCTGAACATGGAAATGCTGGGCGTAATGAGGCGTAGATGACACTTGTAGGTTTTGTTTTAACTCTTGCCATTCAGGTTACTCTAGTAGAGTGTATAAATGACTTCAGTATTTGTATTGCCTTTCAAAGATTATTTGTAATAAAAATGACGAGATGAATGCTTCTCAGTTGTTAACAATCCCTCGTTTTGTGGGTCAAAATGAACTATTAAAATACTGGATAAAAGAATGGGCGAAATTAAACGAAGCGGGCTTTAAAAAGTCTTCTTCTATGTTAAGCCAAGTTTTGTTGCGTGTTTCTGTTTGTCTGATTTGCAGAGGAAACAAATAGTGGATTGAAGTCTGGGAATTCACAAGAAAATCTTCTTTTCCTTTTTGTCCTTCTTTCATCCCGGAAATGCGAACATGACTAATTCGTTTCCTGTCTTTATTCCGCGCAAGTGGACTGCAAATAAGAGTCACGAGTGGTTATACAGTATAGGGACGAATGAAAAAGTTTCATCCTTCCCCCTTATTTAATTCCATTCCCTCAGTATCCCTGCATCCAAATTTTTTTTTGTGAAAGTTGTGTTGATGCTCGATAGCCCACGAATGCAAAACACCTTACTACCACTTAAATTTTATTTATGATTTTGCTGCACATGCATATGCACATGTATATCGTGACACCTCATTTTTCTGCAAAAGTGAGCAAATTTCTGTTATATACGGGGACTGCACTTTTAGGTGAATTGGATATTTCATTGCAAATGGATACATTTTGTTGGAAAACCTAGAGAATGTTTCCCGCATATGATGACACCGAAAATACAAAAATTCTCGTTGCCATTATTCTTCAACGACGATGACATCACAACTAACACTTTGAGCAGATGAGAAGTTTATGATCCAAATTTTGGCGAAAGCCCACTGTTTCTTTTCAGTTTGAATGAAACGATTAAAGCTGCACGAAGCCGTTTATAATCGGATTGAATTTTTGATTAATAAGTCCATTGTTCAAGAAACATTTTAAAGAAAGGAAAGATTTCTTATCGGTGGAATGTGCTCAAGTGCGAAAAACTCGAATTTAGAACGAGGCTGACAAAAGTCTTGTGACTCATAGATGTGGTTTTGTTGAATGTTGTTCTGATTTAGTTGATTTTGACCCCGTCAATCAAACAGCAATTTCGGATGAAAAGAAAAACAACAATGCAAAGCTCTCCAAGACATGCGGCCAAGAAAACTCCCAAGCGTTCATCTCAACACGAATTTTTCTCACCGAAGACAAGTCCAGCACTGGAACAAGCGGCTTCGCTTTCAACGCCGCATGGCGACTCGCCTGGAAAGAGCCCAAGTTCTGCCAAAAGATTGAAGAGTTTCTTTCAGGATTTGCAACGTGAATCTCGACATGCTCTTACCAACAAGAGAGCCAAGATTGCACAGTTATGGGAAGGGAGAAGATGGCGACGTGCGAGCTTAGAAGAAGTGGAACCGTTCGCCGAAATGGAAGAAAGGGAACTGTCTAGTTATGGAGCAACAGAGCCTAAAGAATATAATTATAACCACGAGGAAAATGATTCCGATCATCAAGGCATGAGTAAAGTACAAAAAGAGTTGCGACTTGTCGAAAATCGGTGTTGATTTGAACAAAGGCTCTCTTTTCGCGGATAAAGAGACAGACAGTTCATAAGTTTGGTGGTTTGTATAATCTTGATTCAAAGAGGTCCATGCATGTTCTCATTGCCAGGTATCATTATATTATATTATTGTAACTTTTGTTTGAGACTAACAGAATATATTGCAGACTATCCACGGTTTTTTTTTTCACAATTGAATTAAATCTATTAAATGTACAGTTGTAATAAAACCATAGTTGGCCTGGGAGTAATTTCCTTGACCGGTCAGGTTATTTTTTCTTATGAGGTCAGGAGTTATGAAGTAAGCACACATGAGTGTGAGAGCAGTACTGGACTCGGCGCGTTTCTTCTCTTTTTTCCTTTTTTTTTTTGGAGAGCCCGGGACGAGTCAAAAAGGTCATCCGGAGTGATTTCTTGGACAATTTTCAAATAGAATACCATAAATACAATGGATTTAACAACTGTTTATCGTTCATAAGAAGGTTTTTGCCTCATAACTGAGTCTGTGCATGTAGTCATGCGTTTATAGCTTGTTGGTTCGAAAAGTCAAGACCCTGCCTCTCTCGCACCAACTTAGTCAACAGCGCCTGCGTCCGCCTGAATCGCTGCATGCAACCTCCAATTTCGTTCCCATACCCTTCCGGTTACCGACCCATTTCAATCCAGCGGAAAGGGCAAGGATTGCTTTAACCTATGGAAGCGAATTTGGTCTCACAAAGTTCCGATATCCTATTGTGCGGGGGAAATTCACAGGTAAAATATGAGATAGCCCGGGGTGTGCTCAAGTGTACCGCCTACACAAGTACGTGCCGCCCATTAGAGTATAATTTTTGAGGGTCTCCGTCATTAAAATGAGTATCATTTTTGGAGTTGTTAGCGTTTTAATCTAGGTGTGATCCTGAGATAGGATACCTGTATTATATCAGCTAAAATTCAATTGCGTATAAATGCCCAATTACACGAGAAGCAAATCATCTGTTGAAACTGAACTTTACCTAAGAGTATTTGGAAAAAAATTAAGGAACATTATCGGTTTTTCCGTTGAATTCTTAGTTTCTGTTTTTCCCTTAGACTGGGTCTCATTTTTTTTGGTTTGGGCCTTAAAAAGGCTATCAGTTTTCTTTTTGCCATCCTTGAATAGGGGCAGTTTTAAGACCCAGGGCGGCACACGTATCCGAACTTTTTGGGAGTTCCCCGCGGGACTCGGGAGCTAGTATACTGTGGGGCTAGAATTATACGCTACGGTATTTAGAAATTTGCATAGTACAACCAGCTTGACTGGCAGGTATTAGGGAAAAAAGATGCATGAGTAGGCAGACTATGGGAGATAATTCCTCGCAGAGGTTGAAAACGAAAGTTTACCAAATTTAGACGGTCTCTAATTTCTCTTAAGTTCATGAATTATCGACAGATCTGAAAAGAATATTTCAGACTGGCATTACCGATGTATTAAATGTTGATTTTTTAAGCAGTGTGCTCTGTTCTAAAACCCATGGACTCAAAAGTGTCAAGACGTTGTGGGATTTCTTTTAGCTTTATTTACAATATGTATTTTACAGTAATTGGTCTTCTTCTTTTTCGCATCACAACCTGTGTTCCAACCAAACGTTAACATGCAGGCATCGGCCTATCAAGAAGAGAACAAAATAGTAGAAAAATAAAATGATCAGCTAATTTTGGTCTAGGCAAGATCCTGAATTAGAAAACATTTAGGTCTAAGTGAACAGAAATAGGTCAATGCTACACTTACACCCAAACTATTCACTAGCTATGTAAATGATCGGCTAGGCTTTCGTAAACGTAGTGTAGAGAGAATCAGATGTTCCAAGGGTATCCTTTGCTTACCTACGAAAGTTTTCCTTCGCCTGTGCAAGTTTTAAACGCACCAGGAAAGCTACCAGAACTTCTGCAACCTGCAGCAAAAAGGAGACATAATTTGTTTTGTATAACGTTGTGTCAGTGAGATGTAATGTTCTAACCTGCTAGTGCGAAATCCTAAGGTGTGACCATTTAATTGAAACCTCCGAAACAGCACTTTAGAACTTTCATATTCACATTAGATCTGTTGAAATCCGTTAAAAGAGTCCTTGGGTTCCAAACAAATCCTTTAAAAGGACAAAAATCAAGACGCCCTCAGCGTTTTAACGTTAACTGCTTCTAACCTTATCGGGGGCGTCTTCATGGACACTGTGCCCACATCGAGACAACACTTGCAACTGGAATTGACCTAAACACAATGAACATAGAAAATTAATATAGCGGCTGTTTACCACCGAGGAGGGAGGGAGATCGTTAAAGGCGAAACAACCTTTCGTTGGGTTTACATGCAGAAATTTCGGTCCGTGTGGTGCCCAAGAAAGATCGAGAAGGAATTAAAAATAACGGGCGACAAAAAAAATGTAATTATCACATGAATCAAATCGTGGTCACGCCAAACGAAATTGTCGGCCTTTACTATCGTGATTAGCCACAGAACGAACCTTCCCGGGGCTATTCTTTTTATGATGTTTGTGACGGTTTTTAGGAGCATCCGGGGGACAAACTAGGCAAAAATGGCGACGGGAAGAACAATAGGATCTTTTTAGCGTAGGCAGCAAGGAAGATCCTAACGCTAAGGAAAAGTACAAGCCTTTGCATGTAAACCAAAAACAGGGAACATATGGCGCTAGGATGATCCGCCTTCTAAGATCTTTCTCTCTCCATCTAAACACTTTTCAGCTTTTAGATAACATCTAAAGTGTCGTCATTAATTTCAAAGAAATCTAACTTAATCAACTCTTTCAAAAGATAGATTTACGTTAAACAATTCCAGGCAGCTATTATTATTACGAAGCTTATAACGACGACGACTATGAGAACGTCATAAAACACTATAAAAGCAAAAGGTTCAGATAAGTTAACCAACAACTTTGGATGTGCACCAGGCTCCAATTGTTCAAAAGTTGGATAGTGCTATCCACCATATAAATCTCTATCCAGAGGATAATGCAATTGGTTCCCCTAAAAGCTATCCACTGGATAGAGATTTATCCAGTGGATAGCACTATCCAGCTTTTGAACAACTGGGGCCAGGCTCAGTTTGTTCATATCTTTGCCGTCGTTGCAAGACTACGACATGAAACTGCCGAATGGTCACGTTTCCGCCTGGAGGACGTGGACACAAGACAACGATTTTCTAGTTCCTTTTTAAAACTTTGATACAGTCCTTAAGAACTCAACTCCAGAAAAATTGAAAAAAAAAATTCAGAAAAATTGCCTACGGTACAAACCTTGCATTTGACCTATGGTGAGGTCTCTGTCAAGACGATCAACACCTGAAAAAAAATGAAGGATCAGTCTTAAGGTATTCTGAAACTCTAAATGTACTTCAACTTAAATTTGCAACCTCGCTCCCCGGTTCCCTCATACTCGACCCTTCGAAGAGGAGGAGATAGCCCGCCTGAGAACGAGGTAGCGTAAATTTGAACGCGTTCTCCGTGCAACCATGTCCCTTAAAACGGCTAAGTCACGCTATTCTAGGTAATTTCAGCAACGCGAAGATAAATGAATTACCTGCTAAGATAAGAAGCTTTGGAACACGACAGGAGAGGAATAATTTTGACATGTCTTGAAACCAACCTACAAGTTAAATCAGAGCTGATTATAATGTTGGCTCATCAGTTTTGAACCGATTGAGCAAATACAATGTGCCTACGTAGATGGCGTTTTATGAAGGATATTAGAATGATTTAGCAGCAGAACGGAAACAGAAGTTGACGACGGCGCGCGCAAATCAAACAACTGGTTTGACCAATGGCACCGCAGCAAACTGGGCACCGGAAGTCGAGTTTACTCCTTACCGCGCGCTTTCCCGTTGTCAAATGACGTTCCCGTTCCGTTGCTAAATCAGCCTATTGGGGGAGCATGCGAGAGTGGCGAAAAGCTCGGCTTGTCTCGATTTGCGCTAGCCTACGAGAAAGCTCTCCATCTTGCGTGTCATCTCGCGTGCCGCTCACGCGTGATTTCTCGCAATATCCTCCAAATGGAGAGCTTACTCGCAGGTTAGCTCCGCGCGCGCCTTTAACGCTCAATTCCTTGCTCGTCAGACAAAACCGCAAGTTAAACAGAATAAATACAATGTGCATCTGTGTATAACTATTTTCTATCAACTCCCAAAAATAAGCCTTTTCCGTAACTCACCTTTCCAAAATTGGTCCGTCTTGGACAAGTCAATTCTCCATTGAAATCTTTCTTTAACTTCCTATGGACAAAACAAAAAACTGCCCTTAATTTTTTAGACGTTCAAGTGTTAAAGCCCGTGTTCATCTATCTCCGACCTTCAGAATAATCGGAAGAGAGACGTGTGTATCGCTTACCTGCTAATTCCGGACCGCAGTTGGTTTCTGCCCGAATTGCCTTGAGAGGAGGAGACACACCGGAGTATAGTCGTTTCGCTGCAAAGTTGTTAAGTCGTTTCGCTAACTGAACTCGTTTATTTCCCGTTTGTCTTTCATTCTAAATTGTTTTAAACTGTTTAATACCAAAAGTTGGGTGCAGCGAATCGACCTTATGATGCAGCGAAACGCCGACTTTGTAGAGAAACGACCGTAACTACAGTGCAGAATTCTGATATTTAATGATGAAACATGTTCGCGAGGCGGGATTTTTGTGAAAAAAACGCGGGAATGCACAGGAACCCCTTTCCAGATCCTTTTATGATCTGCAGATGATCACTTTTACATGACGTGATGATTGTAAAGGTACAAATTTACATTATAGCAAAACACGAGTTATAAAGCTCACCGCTGGCTTGGAATCAGTGGTAGGGGTCTCTGATGTTATTTCAGGCGTGTCTGTTAGTGTTGTTTCTTGTGATTCTTCAGTTATTGCACCACAAAAATGTGACGGGGAAGGTGAGCTGGATGAACATCTCTCCGTCTCACTCTCACAACTGCTGTTACATCTGTAAAATTATACAATGTTAGTCTACAATGAGCCATCACGTTTGTAACACTGCACATATCCCACGTACCTTTGTAATGTTTTGTACATTCCAAACCTAGCAGTATGCAGGATGTTCACACATGAACCACTAGTCTACTGTGGCTCAGTGGTAGAGCATCTGGCCCGGATTGTTCAAACATTGGATAGCGCTGTCCACCGGATAAATCACTATCCAGTGGATAAGTATTAAGGAAACCAATTGCGCTATCCACTGGATAGAGATTTAACCAGTGGATAGCGTTATCCACCTTTCAAACAAGTGGGCCCTGGACTAGTAACCAGAAGGTAGTAGGTTTGATTGGGAGAACTTGGACTTTTTCTTCCAAGAAGCCTGTGTCACTGACTGAATCAAGATCTTTCTCATGTAACACCAAGCTTAAAATTTACCATCACATTTCTATCATGATGCATAATTACATATCGACATTCTAGTCCCAGCAGTAAGCAGGATGTTTGACACATGAACTTAGTTTATAATTATAGCCTTGCCCTTAGCTTCCACAGGTCTCTTGTATCTTAGTAGTACAACGTCTACACTAATAACCAGAAGGTCGCAGGAAATTTGATTCCTGTTGGAAGAACTCAGATTTTTTCCAAGTCACCTGAGCCACTGGCAGAATAAAGTTCATCTCTTTCTCCTTCACGAATTCACATTCTTTCAAACTTATCATTGTCTCCTTTGCAACCACTCTGTGAGGCATTTCTGCAATGCTCTCGGCCAAGTGGGGGCAGGGAAGGAGACTGCAATAACTTTAAATGACTGAGAATTCCCATCCCATCATGATTGCTAAAAGCTCGATCTATAGTATTACAAACCGTTTGAAGAATAACCAATGTTACCTCATTAACTGCCCCGCCATGGATACCCGTGCTGATTCCACATTGTGTATTTGACCGCTTCGTACGCTGAAAAAAAAAATTAAATCACTTCAGTGCATTCAGTGGTCCAGAACTGTTACAGCTCTTAGTATTACTTAATTGAGTGCCCCCTAGCTATGATTTATATTCTCACCATGTTACTTGACAAAGCTAACATTAAACAGCAAGTCAAACATTCAAAGGAAAATGGCAAAACAGTCCATAACTATGCTCAAGCAAGGCCAGGTGTTCCCTGGCAACTTTAATTGCCTGTGGGCAACAGGGAAATCTTACTTTTTGCACAAATAATTCATAGATTCATAGCTTTTGGGTATCCCACAAGTTTAAGAACAATCATTCAGCCAACAAGTGTCTGTCAAACAAATGCTAGCAATCAGAATAAAATATCTACCGTGAGTGTGAAAAGAGGTTGTGGGTTTCAGTACAGCTTGGGCTACAAGTGTAGCTGCAGAGTAAGGTATCTTTTGTGGGTAAAATCGTTATCAGATTAAGCCAGAATTTCCTTGGTCTCTTTTGAGTATTTATGGATAGGAAATGATGAAATTCCTGATAATTCAAACTAACACTGGTTTAATCTAAGAAATAAATGGACTTTACCTACAACATATCCACATGGTGAAACAGCTACTTGTTCATAGCCATACAACTGCAGGGCCACCACAGATATAGCCTGCGTAGCATGGCGGTTTTGTGTGTTTTTGTCGAGCTGGGCGCACGAGCAGCACCCCAATCTCCTCGTGGTTTCTATGCCCTCGCCTGCTTTTATAAGCTTTATTACTTAGCGCACCCAACCAAAACCGCCATGCTATATGCAGGCTACCATAGATACAGATCCACGTAGCTACATAATAACATGGAGAAATAGCTGGTAGCCAAGTGATCATGTTAATAGCAAAAACCAGGCTTAACTACATAGTGTAAGAATGAGCAGTGTTGGACAACAGCTGTGCCATACCTCCATTCTATACCCTCTTCTAAAGAGCCAAAGGTAGATGGTCTACTTTTAAGAAATGTTTGCATAGATGAAAGAGCTTCCATAGCGGTACCTGGAAAAAAAAATAGTTTCTATCGCAGTTTTTTCCACACTTGAGAAAACTCAAAGCTTGTGTATTGTTTTTATGTGGGATCTGCGTTAATAGCGTATTATTATGTAATTCATTTTCCTTTTCTTTTTTCTTTGCTTGCAGCTGTAAATCAGTATCAAAGGTAGAGTTGCTTAAAGATCAAAATTTGAAATCTTACTTGTTGCCTCTTATCATTCCCTACAGAAGTAGTGGGGAGAAGTTAATAAAATATCAAGCAAATTCATCTTGGTAATCATGTTTTTAATTCTCATGACCACTCTGTTTTACAAAGCATTAATATTACAAGGAGAAATTTGATGCTGATGACTCTTAGGGCCTAAAGGATTAAGGTTTTTTACCTTCCACCACATCAATAACTGCCAGACCACTTAGAGATGGGCCCAACAATCCCTGAACTCCAACATGGACAGCTATTGCCCCACCCATGCTGAAAAATATACACGAAAATGAATAAAATATTATAATTGTCACCAGAAAGAAAACATTATGATGTGCAAACATGCTTTCAAGTTGAGGGATATCATAAGAAGTCACATGCGAACACCATACAAAAGAAGACGCAAGAGAGAGTCTCCATTTTTCCACCTCCCAGCTTTGCAGCTCACAGGCGCATTCTCGTTGTGACTGGCTTCATTTACAACCTCAGAAAGAAGAAGTTGCTCACAGGGTTAAATTTCATTTGAATCTTGTGTGAAAAAACAGTTTTCCAGTTCCAGTTTTCCGTGTCTGCTTTTCCTAATTTTTTAAAAACCTGGTTTAAGTAAACATGTTTAGTTAGTGTGAATTGGGCATAACTGACAGAAAACTACTACTAATAAATTTATAGTGTTCCTTGAAGACCGGGCATCATTACATGTAGTTGTGCATGGTGACATTATTTAGGATGTGTAGTATGTCTCTCGTCATACAAATGCTTACCTGTGGCCAACCAAAAGAATTTTCGGCTTTGAATCAACATCTTCATAGATCTTGTCCACAACATCTTTCACATCTCTAAAATTAGATCACAAACACAATAAAAAGATTTAATAACCTCTGTTTCTTTGCATGTTATTCATTTAAATCAAAATTGAATGAGGTTTCTACTGGTCTTAATACCACCAAACACAACATCTGATCTCAGGAAGCTAATGAGGCTGCTTACAAATAGCAGTGGTAATAGCAGCAGATTGCACGAGGTGCCTTCCTTTTACTATTTTTTGTTTCTCAAAGAGAGAAAAAGTTTGTGTGCTAGATACTCCCTCATTGTTTTTCAATACTAATTTACATATCCAAAGGTTAGCTCACATACATGTTCTGATGATCTGAGGAAAGAAAATGACTGCTTGCACTACAGAGTAGAAAAACAAAAAAATTTCCTTACACTTACTTTGCTAAGGCATCTGCTGATAAATTGTAATCATCCTCGGTCGTTGTGTCACCTTAAGGAATTAAGTATACTGCTGTTTACTACAATGTATATGTTACAAGTCAAAATGACATTCAGATTAAAATTTTTTAACCTAGGTTGATTCTCTGTTTCCTTTAGTCTCCTAGCCTTATTTCATGAATAATTAGGGCTAGGAGACAAAAGTAATTGAGAATCATCCAAGAGTAAAATATCTTAACCTGAATTTAATTTTTACCTGTAACATATACATAATCGCCCTAGCCATCTCCCAATAAGGACCATTGTTACTATGGCTAAATCCTTGATGTATGCCCCACACAGAAAGTCTATGTTAACTAGATTCTGACCCCTGATTTCCTTTGCTGCAAGATCTATCATCAGCATCATCATCATCATCATCATCACAATCATCTTCCTCAAAACAATTTTAAAATGGGTAAACAACTTCACGCAAACGCAATCAAACTAGAACAAGAATTCTGTGTTTCCAGAGCATCTGTTGCCTTTCCACCAAATAAGGGTAACAAAGGCTCTGTATGATATTATGGGGGTTGATGTAAAACATTTTATCATTGAAGCGTATGAGCAACCAGTTTACTTATTGGTAATTGTTACTTTTTACAATACTCACCATGACCTCTAAGATCTATTGCCAAGATCTGACAGTGGCATATTCCAGAGATTGCTTTCTGAAGGAAAAGAAATCTCTTTAGTTTAGGTGTACATATTAAGTTGTAAATACCTAATATATATTGAAATATATAACTGCATATGCACTTTTCTCCTTGCATACATATTTGAATAACCTTAGCTTTGTGGTAACTCAGTTAAGAATTTCATGAAATCTGGGATTTGTTTGTTTCAACTTGACTAATCAACAGATTGTCAATGCTTAAAATGTGTAATTTATAAAATAATAATAACTCAGTGAGTCACAGAGTATAAACTTTGAATTATACTCACTGTAAAGACAGCCCATGATAAAGCAGAATGCCCTCCACCATGGAGCAACAGTAACAACGGTCCATTACTTCCAGCCTGGTAAACTCGAAATATCTTAAAACCATGTTAAGTAATTTTATTACATGTTCATTTTTTAATCGTAGTATTAAATTATGGAACCAAATATGTAAATTAATTCAACCCAGTGACTTTCTAAACATTTAGACTTTTAAGAATAGTACAAAGATGAATTAGCAAATGTCTTTGAAGTTCATGGGGTCTTGCACGTAATTGCGAGTGCCACTATAGTTTAATACACATTTCTTAAGATTTTTACTGATTTAGTCGGGAAGTGCCCTGCATGGGAGGTCCCGTTTGCCCCTTACCTTTTGGCCTTTTTTTAGTATTATTTTTTTCGTTACTGTAACTATTTATTGAGAGAGACTCAGACCAATAAAGTTCATAAAACAAAACAAAACAAAGTTTCAGTCTTACCTCTGACATCTCTAGCTTTGTGTTTATGCATGCACATTTACTTGTTCAAAATAAAAGTTTGAGTGTACGAATTTTGTAACAAGTCTGCATTCAGTAACAGAATAGTACATAAGAGTCTACCTCGATCAACGAAGAAAGGATACATTTTTTTCGCTGACCCGAACATCTCTTGAAGTTTCGAAATACCCTTCCCATGACAGCGGCGTGTAATCTCTCTTCCGGCGAATTCCACCAGGAGCACTGAGTGAGGGAAAGAATCAGATCAAACGGTATACAAATCACAGAAAATTAAATCTTTATTTATACTTACAAATTACTTTTCCCTGGCCGTTTCGGAACAGAGGGTAATCCGCCGTACTTGTTTTTCAAAGCTTCTCTGCGATATTCCGACATCTTGGATTTTTTTTTTTTTGCGAAGTTTTGTAATCAGGTATCGCAGGCGCAAAAGTTTATTTTGATTTTGTCACCTTGTCACGCAACTAAAAGGGAATCAGGCGTAGACCTTGATCATTCGTACAAAGAAGGAGAAGTATCAAGAAAGGAACATAAGGTAATTTACGTTTGTAAAGTCCTTTAGATATGTCCGTTTTATTAATTTAAAGCTAACAAAGCAACACAATAAGTCTCCCTGGAAGAACAAGCTTCACTTTAATACATGACATTGCATGACAGGTATAACCTTACAACCTTAGCGCGGTAAAAATATTCAAAACCTGTGCATACAGTATTCGTCTGCCATGAACCTCGAGCTCGCAACGACTACTTTTTTTCTTGTAAATTTTTGTGTGGTAATCGCCACTGAAACAGTCAAAAAACCTCATATCTTGTTGATACTGGTTGACGATCTTGGCTGGAGCGATGTCGGTTTCCATGGGTCGAAAATCCGCACACCAAATGTCGACAGGTTGGCGAGCGATGGTGTCATACTGGATAACTATTACGTACAGCCTTATTGCACTCCTACACGAGCCTCTCTTATGACAGGCCGATACCCAATTCACACCGGTAAGATGGACCCAGCAGAGTCAGATGCAAGGCTGTGCGGTAAATAGACCTCTTTAGCTTGTATGTTTTGCTTCCAGTGAAGGTCTCAAAGGAATTTGGTCATTTCTCCTTTCATAAATTATGTGTATTACGTGAATAAAAAGAAATTTGGGACTGAAATTTGAAAGGAAAAATTCTTGAGTATTGTCACATGACCTACATTGGGAAAACAAAGTACAGAAGCTAATGAGGTCTATTTTAATAAAGATCCGAGGCATTATTAATAAACAAATGTGCTCTGTTGTTTTTATTCTTCTGCTGGTCAATGAGATGCAAATAAGTATGAGATATTTTCTGCCATTCTTGCCTGCACTCAGAGACCAAGTTATGCTCTCTCCCCTCTGAGTCCCTGTCGTCTTGATTTATTGGGCTCGGAATAAAGTGAAAAGAGGACAATTCCATACCTACCGGCAATTTTTTTCATTTAATACTTACCCTAGATAGCGAATATGGTCAGAAATATCGCTGAGGAATCTGTGGCTTGTTCCCTTCTCTCCTAGATTTGATAATATTTCTTAGCCAATAATCTCATCTTTTAATATCCAGATATATTTCATCCTCAAGTTAAAGACCGATAGGCAGAATTAGTAAGGATGATGAGATTTTCCCATCATACGTCTTTTGTAGTTAATTTTTTATCTCAGGTAATTGTTGCTTTTTTTGTGTTTTTGGGTATGGTAATGTATGCTAATGAAGTTGAAGCAAAGGAAAAATAAATTAACACACCTAAGATAAAAAGTTAACTACAACATATCTAACTGCCGCTGAACCTCCAAAGATATATCTCTTTTTAGTAAAACTAGTGGTCTATTATCAATGCTGCATATTTCTGATTGGTTGAGTTACTACTAGGCTATATTTTATGGCCCACTAGTAGCGAAAAGCGCCGGCTTTGAAAACCAAAACAATGGCAGCTGAATTGTGTTTTGCTAGCTAACATTGTTTTGTCTCGATATTTTTGACCAACTAGTTGGATTTTTAAAACGATTGTTCCTCTTGCCCTCATGGCCTCTGAGTCAATAGCCCATGTGGCCTTCAGGCTCGAGGAATAATAATTGTTAAATATCATACTTTACCCTATAATTTCACCTACCCGTCTATTTTGATTTTACAGGTCTTCAGCATAGGGCAGTTCTGTGTTTAACTCCTTTTGGCTTACCTCTACATTTTTCCACCCTTCCAGAAAAGCTACAAGAAGTAGGTAAGAAGTTTAAAGTACACCAAGATTGCATGAGCATTAGGTTAACGGAGCATCTCTTATTTTTTGTGTGTGTTCACTTCAGCAATCATCTGCTTCATAGTTAAGTTCTTCTGCTTCCCATTACACTCTGCATGTCACCTGGGTGAAGTTCAACAGAGAAGATTAGGGATAATTCAAGTCCACTATAGTGGAGATGTCGTTATATCACATTACCACATTGGATCTCAACAAGCCTTGGTATGGCAAAAAAAAAAAAAATGACAGGTGTGAGCATGATTGCACTCAGGAACCAAACGGTAGCCCGTGAATCTTTTCCATCGTTTGACAGTGCAAATGGCTGTCTCTGTCAAGAAAGATTGTTAAGTTCCAGAAATTTTGCCACCATGATAACCTGCAGTGGCAGATCCAGACCTTAAGATAAAGGGGGAGGGGACAGTCATCCAGACCCTGAGATAAGGGGGGGGGGGGGGCTAGTCTCCAAAAAAAAGTTTTGTCGGTCCTTCGGGCCTCAGTTTGGTCTAAAAATAAGGGCGGGCCCAGCCAGACCCTTCCCCTGGATCCACCACTGACCTGATGTCACACTTCTCCTCCCTATGGTCTTTGGACAGTAGAGGGATAAAACTTTAAGCACCTCACGCAACATTAATAAACCTTCCTATGGCAAAGGTGTCTGCCACATTAATATACCTTTGTACCTACAGGTTATAGAACCCATATCATTGGAAAATGGCATCTAGGACATCACACATCAGCGAGCCTTCCAACAAACCGAGGATTTGACTCATTTTTTGGATTTGTCAATTATGGACGTGATCACTATAATCACACCCATGATGGCTTCCTGGACTTCTTCAGAGGAGAGGAAGTGACAAGAGAATATCATGGACAGTACGCTACTCATCTATATGTAAAGGTAATACGGTCAAACCCGGCGTTAATTAACAGACACTGAGGGGGCCATAGAAAAAAATAAGAGAAAATGTAAGAGTTTTGTTTCCCCAAGGACAAAGCAAACTCTCCATAATAATGGGGTGTCCGCATTAAAAATTTTATTAAAATGTCGAAATTACCTTTTGTAAGTATTTAAAACTGCGAAGAAGGTTCCTTTGGTGCAATGTATTGTTATTTTTTCTAGTAACCTCTTGAAAAGTGCAATAAATAAAAAAATCAGAAAAAAAAATCAGTTAGACATCTAACATTTGCGTCTCAAAAAGTTGTGAGTCTGTACACTTTTATAACAGATATGAATAAGATGGTAATAAATGATCGAAATGATAGGTTTAATATGCCTTTCTTCATGAAATCAGGAAGCCAATAGAATTATCGCAGAACACAATTCGTCTACGCCGCTGTTTCTTTACATGGCGTTTGAGAACGTCCACGACCCGATTCAAGCGCCCGACGAATATCTGAGAAAGTACAAGATTATTGAGGACAAAAAAAGAAGAGGCTACGCTGCGATGATGGATATAGTTGATGAAGCTATTGGAAATATAACGGCGGCGTTTGAAGAAAAAGGGTAAGGAAAAGTCATGTCGTTTATAATGTGATTGTTTTTTAAAAGGAAAGAGTTAATTGAGTTTAGCTGTGGGACCAGTCAACCTTTTGCGTTTAAATGCTTACGGTTACCACGAAAAATTTGTGCCACGTTTTCACCACGTGCTCGACGGCATGATTTTCCCGCCGTTTTTTCATGCCGTTTGTAACTCGTAAATTTTTATTTTTGAAATTTTCAATCTTAAGTTTAATTGAAAAGTTTGTTTTAGTTCAGAAGTCGCAGATAAAGTCAGAAGAGTCATTAAAAAAGTAAAAAATTGACAGTAGAATTATTATTTCCAGAAGACTGGCAAAATTCTCCGAAATAAGTACCTAGTCTAAAACGTTTTTAAATCCTACTGATTCAGAAATTGTGTTCAGTCATTGTGCTGTATTTTACTTTTCTCCATTGAGTTTTGTACGGTATGTGGAAATTTGAATTGTGCGCATATTTTTCACAACAGAGCGCAAAATGCAAGTTCACATTGCTGAAGAACATTTTTTTGTACAGCCTTCCAGTATGGCGGTTTTTAATTGACTTTCGAAGACAATTAAATTTCTCGCGCCAATTTTTTTATAGAGTACCAGTAATAATTTTCGCTCACAACTTTTGACAGACTAAAGCTAACGATTCTTTCAGGGAATTCGCACAAAATGCTGGACCTCCGCCTAATTATACATCCTTCGTGGAATTTTAGTGCTGACTGGAATCTTCTGTAAGCGAAAACCGATTTTGGGCCACGATTTTTAGTGGCGGTTGCTTGCAGAAGGCTGTCGTTTACAAGCTTTTTAAAAGGTGATGTTACACGAGACGGTTCGCAACAACGACTTATAGCACAACTCAGCGTGGCAACATTGTTGCGACATTGTTTTGGATAGTTACATTGTTCCAACATTGCACCGCTGTGTTGCGCTAAAAATCGTCGTTGTAAATCGTACCGTGCAACACCACGTTTACTAGCATATTGTTTGATTGGGAAAAGTGATTTTGGTTTGTATTTAAAAAAAAAACTTCGCCTCTTTCTAGCGGGGATGCATATGGACTTAGACTACGAGTAGTCCCCATTTTTCCTCAGGGATAGTAGAGTGAGCGAAACGCGAGCGCGCGTGAAAATCATCCTATGCGAGAAAAGGCGACACGAGGCGGGGAGAGAGAAAATTTTCCGGCGCGTGTCACTTTTTCTCGCGTGGAGTGATTTTCACGCGCGCTCGCGTTTTGCTCGCTCTACTATCCCTGAGGAAAAATGAGGACTACTCGTAGTCTAATATGGACTGGGCAAAACTCAGACAAGATGGTTCTTCATGAATTTATTTGCAGGATTTCAACTTGTTTAAAATATCACTTCTTTATTCTTGCTCCACAGGTTATGGAATGACACACTTGTGATATTCAGTTCAGATAATGGGGGAGATCCTGTAAATAGAGGCTACAACTACCCCCTGCGTGGATACAAAAGAACCCTGTGGGAGGGAGGGGTGAGAGCGCCTGCTTTTGTTTATGGAAAGATGCTTATACAAAAAGGAGTGATCGTCAAGGAATTAATTCATGTCACAGATTGGTACCCAACTCTCGTCCGTTTAACAGGTAATTGAAACTACTTCATAAGCTAGTTAAAGTAACTTTACGCAAGATTGATCAAGCGCACTGAAGCTTCATTTTAACATCTTTACGCTAACAAATCCCACAGAACAACTTCTCATAAGAAGTCGATCCACACAAAGGGCATTCGGCAGGTTATTAACTCTTTTCAAGAGTTGCCTATCGAATGGATTTGTATCAGTCCAGCAGGCAATTCGTGAGAGGAGCCCCCTTCTCCCCCCACCTCCCTCTCACCCGCCGGTTCGGGTAGGAGGTGACTCGGCATTCCCCACTCCAGACGAGAAGTGGGTAGTCGTACGTACGCGCGCAAGTATGTCTTGCGAGGAGGCTCGACGAAAAACGCTAGAATTAATAACAGGTATACTCTTTCTCTCCTTGCACTTTAGGTTACCGTTCTAACAATAAATCACTATTCGCCACTCCATCAACGATAGGGAGAATGGACACAAGCTGTCGGCGCGACGATTTGTGGGATCTTTGCATGGACAAGCGCGTGTTATGATCGGTTACTAATGCTTTTCCACCTATGCGATCCCATAAATCTTCGCACCCAAGGCTTGCGCCCTTTCTCCGTGAAGGTTATGGAATGAAAAATTGAATAGGCCCATATAGGCTATCTTCAACTAATTTCTTAGGTGGTACCATGGACTCTAGTGATATTCCAGTAGACGGCTTTGACGTTTGGGACACCATTGCAAAGGGAGCACCTTCACCCAGAACTGAAATCCTCCTAAATATCGATTTTCCTGAGAAAAGGCCTGGCCTTCTTCTGACCTATGACACGTGGTACACAGGAGCGGCAATTCGTGTCGGCGACATGAAGTTGTTGATACATGTCCCCAATGCCACTTGGTACCAGACTCCAGAGGATGGCGGGATTGCCCCACCGATGGAAGACATTTGGGTAACAGTGTGATTATTCATTCCTCCCTCCCCCCACCCCCTGCGACCTCCTGCCCCCCTACCACCACCACCCATTTTTCTTCCTTTACTACAGAAGACTGATCACCCGTTACTATTTTAACCTGAGGGATCACCACACTACAGAATGCTAAATGGTTAATCGGGCGGGCAATTTAACATAAAAACGTTTGAAAATTATCAGGTGGAAGCAGACAGCCTTAAAATACAAAATGTTAGGTATTTTTTCTCTAAAATAAAAAAATAAAAATAAAAAACAATGGCTACTCGCAAGGCACTTGGCGGGGGTGTGTTTCTTTCAGACTAGCCAGCCTCATACAACCTTGTGGCTCCTTTTTGGGTTTTCTTCTATTAAGTCTCACTCTCCATATTCCACACTCGCTCCCGTCTTTTCGTTTGAAGACCATTTCGTTTTCGTATGAACAACATAAAAATACAGTCAACTCTCTTTAAGATGGACACCTTCGGGACCGGCCCGACTGTCCGTCTTAGAGAGGTGTGCGGCTTACAGAGAGTCGAGATTAAAGTGACACCAGATATTGTAAGAGAATAAAAATGAACCCATCCGCAATTAACACACTTCTGTTTATCTTTTACAAGACAGCTAAAACTGGAACATTGTAACAGAAAAGTGGAATCATTTTCTCATTGTTCAATGTAAATTGTACGTCACTTTGTAAGACTTGTTGTTTAAGCTGCAAAGGAGAAATTTATCAGCATAAGTCCTTTACGTGTTTTTGACTCCTTCTTTCTCTCTTTCTCTCTCAGGATCAAAAAACAAACATTGTAGAATTGGCTCTTTTCAACATATCCGCAGATCCGACTGAACGACACGATTTAAGCCGCAGAAATCCTGATATTGTGCGGCAATTAAAGGCACGCATACACGAATATCAGAAAACCGCTGTTCCACCCGGAATCGTACCAGATGATATAATGGCGTTAGTTTTGGCCATGAAAAATAAAGCTTGGATACCCTGGAGAAACACGTGCAATGCGAGATGAATATTCAGTGTGTTCAGCTACTGTATATTCAAACTTGCAACAAGAACGTCTCGAGCCCGGTGTTGTGGATGCGTGGCATAGGGCAATGGAGTTCATCAGAACAACCATAAGTGTACTGGCGTATTAGACAGTGAGCAAGTGTTGACACGTTCATTGAACTTAGGTTAATCTGACTATTTAAAGCACTTGCGGTGAAAACTACAAAAGGAAATTTCGAATTTCACAAAGAAAAAAGAAGATAAAAACTATTAGCACAAGTTGCATCCGATATTGACTCCATAAACACCTACTAATTATGAAAAAACATAGGCACGTTTAACGTGCATGAGCTATTTTGAATGTTTATGTGTAGCCGTCGTACCAAGAATCTACCCTTGTCACCTTAAATTTTAGTCTTGTTCGTGGTACGAAATCGGGTATTGCTATGAAAGTAGTAAAAACGACTGGAAACGCAAAACGTTGCGCACAGCTGAGTCTATGCTCATGCTATAGATTCAATTTTCTTCGTCTTTCCTTTAGACATCTGGTGCAAAGTAAACAAATTGTGATAGTACAATGAATATCAAGTACTATTTCAACACAAGAAGAGAAATTTCGTATCTCAAAGCGGCCATGTTATGTTATTTTTCATATGAGAATTTTTGGCTCCGACAGCTCAAAGATTAGGTGCCGATAGTCTCTTCAAGATTCATGATTATAGTATCGTGTCGTTTGATCGTTGTCGAATTGTACGGACAAATTGCAAGACAATCCGAGCCTGCGACCGGCTGGAGATGCGGCAGATGCCTCTTTATCAGCTTGCACGTGTTGCGTGCCTGGAAATATTTTCAAGACAACGTGACTTCCTGTTTTAGAAGCTAGTGAAGCAGGAAAAGGGAAAGCGGCAGTATGCAAGTGTGAATACTATGTTGATTCCTAATTATTATGATTACATACACATATCAGGTATAAGTTACGTTGATCGTTAGTCTTTTAATCAGCGTATGTGGCTTTGTTCAAGCGTGTACTTAATATGTTTTGATATCATGTTTTCTTCTAGTGCATATCTACACACGGCGGTAGTACATATTCGATCTTCTGATTCTTTCAGCTGAAGGTCAGTCCTTGGAAGCACGGAAGAAGACCCTGAATGACAACTACGGTCAATAGCATAATACAATCCATCTCTTCAGGCTTAAAGAGTTACAGAAAGGAAACAGTCCTTGACAGAACGACAACAATGCATTAAAAGAGTAAGTTAATACATGTATATTCAATTTATAGTAAAATTCAGTCCTACATTTCTTAAAGCAATCATCTTCCAGAATTCATTAACGACACTAAAGATACTTCTAGAGCCTTATCCGACGATTTGTTTTTCCATATAAATAAACATATTTTGTGCATGGATTTGGCATATTTCAACGGAATGATTTAATACGGTCCCCGGAATGTTTGAAAAATCGACTGATCAGTCACGGATGACGTTATTGCAACATCCCGAAACTCTTTATTTATATTAAGGCAATATTGTCGGCCGTTTAAAATAAGAGATAGTCCTCTACATCCGTATCTTGGTAAAACTGTAATCAGAGTATTTGATTTAAAATCTCTTGTTAGAATGCGCCCGAAACATTTCAGTTGTAAATGTACAACTAAAAGGAACCAAATATTCGTAAATTGATCTTGTAACGCAAGAAGTGGCGGTGATGATCACAGACAATGCTTCTTTGTTCGTGCCTTCCCCATTATCTCACAACTCTCACAACTACTTCGTTCAAGATGAAGGACGCTGCCTATCATATATCTCCCTCTCATGGGGTCTTTCATTCTTTCACGACTTTATCATATTTCCCGGAAAAAAGGGATGGATGTTCTCTTTTTGAAATTGTTTCGCCACTGTTTTTATATTTCGAGTGACGTCATAGATGGCGCCAAGACTTGACAGATCTAGTGCACCCACTCACACAAGGTAATAGCCTTCGAGCAAGCTCTCCTAGGGGTACGGAGGTGGGGAGAGGGGGGGTAGAAAGGAACAAGTGCATAGCGCCCCAAAGACCTTGTATCTGAGGTCTCCCGATTAAAATCTTGTAGTTTCGCCACTATGCTTTTACCGTCAAATGTCCTTATTACGAAAACCACTCATGGAACGAAACATTTGTCCACTACGTAGCAGAGATATCCGCACTATGGAGCTGGAGATTTTAGGAATTTGATAATTTTGGGGCCAAGACAACTGTCTGTAACAAAGAGTTGTTCGTATTATGAGGCAGTTATTGCTGTGATTTTTGGTTATCAACTGAACATGATAGAGAGGTCTAGAGAGTATGACCTCCATCGTACTAGAGAGAGTTTGTCTATGTTTGTCTGTGCTCGAAAAGGGGGTGAGCGGCAACTGTATACTATACACGGTACTGTACTGACAGACAACTGCTTTTTCTTTCATTCAGAAATGACCACTGATTGCCTGGTGGACATTTGAGCCGTTCTGACAATTTCGCAATTGCTGCTGGTCCGTTCCACACCCTCCTTTCTATAGCCATGACTGGAATTCCTGACGTGAAAGAATCCCATTTACTAAATGGATATTGTAGCTCGACACTGACTCCTAAAGGTAAAACGGAGTAGAAGAGTCGTGGTAACTAAATAGTAGCATCTATTTCAGACGAATGATAGACCGGCATTGAAATCCGCGTCTTTCAAAGTTGTACCGGCTCTATTTTCTACAAGGCTTAACCCTGGAGTTTACTTAGGATAACGATGAGTAATTTCCAGATCTCCCTTTTAAAACTGCCTCTTTTGGCCTTGAAATAACTAGAGTTGGTAGAGCTTTTGCCGCTCTCTATTTTCATTCCAACTTAGTAATAGGGTCCCCATTCCCCGATTTTTGGGGATCTTGGATTTGCCTTATTTGAAGCTCAGGATTCGGGATTGTGAAGGAAAATCGGGGTGAGATTCGGGATTGAAAGTATGCGCTGGAGGTGGGATGCCAAAAATAACCCTTGGGATTAAGGGGTTGCATGAAATTTTGAGTCGGGATTGAAGAACCGTATTGGGAACCCTCAAGTAACTATCTCCTTTTCACGTGAGGGGAGGGGTATAACCCAAATTACGAGCGGTAGGAAGTGCCTAAGGACTGGGAAAATCGATTGTTATAGTAAGGGTGCGAATCACGTTATCATCCCATTTGACAAAGCTTTGAACGAGGTAAAATAATACGGATGAAGTTGGAAACAGCTCGAATTTGCTTTTAAGGCAACTTTTTCGCTGCCTTCGCTGTCTTGTTTGCTGAAGCCTCCAACTAAACCTGGCGCGGAGAATATTATTCCTTATGCCAGAGTGTTCGTTATGTACGAATAAATTAAACCAAAGCAACTACACTTAAAAAAGCGGCCGCTTCTTTTCGAAGTGGATTGTGGAGTCGTACCTCGTACTCAGAAAAATGCACTCGTTTTAATTGCTTGCTTTCAAAATCCATTTTTTTGCAGCTGATAACGACGAATCAGACTTGAAGGAAGAACTCTATGCCTGTAAAGAAGCCACAAGGAAATTATTGGAAAAAATGAGAGAATTTCAAGGTTAGTTCAGTTTACTTAGGTGCGCCAATATTACTGCGGGCACTCAACAGCCCCTCTCCCCCATGAGACAAAGACCGTCACACCCTTGCTCTTTACGAACACTGTCTGGGTTCTTTAACGTCCTACAGAATTTATATGTGTAAGGGTTGTGAGACGGGGTTTACGGGTTATCGTTCTTGCAAAGTCTGACCGGTTGAAGAATGTCTTTACTAAGGCAGCACTTTCTCCTCTTTTAGTTAAAGACACTTTTTTTTTTTTTGCGGCCAGGCTTTTAACCAGCGCTTCCCGCTCGGCAGACCGGCGCTTAACCGTACTGCGGTTAAACAACAACCCTGTCATATCTTTCACAAAAGAAGTCTCTGTCTTGTATTCTATTTTCTGGATTGTTTCATGATCAGTGCTTGCCAAAATTTAACTGCTCAACGACTAAGAGACGGACCATTAGAAAAGTTATGGGGGGTGTAAAGTGCAAAATAATATCCAAGCAAGGGAAAATTAACTAAAGAAATAAGGGAGATGTCAACACAATAAATTCACGCAGCTTCAAAACTCCCCACTCCTACCATACATTTAAGGCCATTAACTTTCAATTAGAATTCATCCGTCGGCTTCTGTCACTAATAGTTTATCGTCCAATTTTTTTTAATTTCTCGTCATTTTGTAGCGGAGGTAGAGAAGAATATGGAGGAGCTGAAGAGAGAATTCCAGAATCTAACGCAGTCTACTATGAAAGAACTCAAGGAGCTGAAGGAGCTTAGAGGTACATGTAAGACGCATGCCTTCCTAAGTCAGTATTTTAAATATTGCTGTCTTCTTGGATCTGCCGAACGTGAGGCAAGATAAACCTCTTAGGCCCAGTTCAAACGTCGAATTTTACAATTGCCGATTTTAATTCGAGAATTAACTGCCTGTGAGATGCGACGTCTGAATCAATTAAATTCGACAGTTTCAAATCAAATTCGACTTTGCCGAGTTGACTTAGGTTCGACATTTAATTCAGACGTCGCATTTCACCGATGATGCAATAATCATAGACACTATTATCCATATTGGATAACAATTTGTTTTAGAGACTGGGAATATTTACAACAAACGGACCATTATTTTTATTTACTATATTATTCATTGTTTTAATCAACTGCCAAGTTTAGTTACAGTCAAAGCTTTCCTTGCGACCACGTAAGCGACCACTTTCGTAATGAAAAGCTCTTGTAAGGTGATCGCTTACGAGAGCTTCGACTGTACTTTAGTCGACTAAAATAGGAGTTAAATTCGGCACTTGTGAAATTCGACGTTTGAACCGGGCCTTAGGTTCAAGAAAGTCCTTGAAACGTTCCCCATAATTATTTTAAATATGTACCTGTCATAATGTACTTTTTCATGAGATTAAAAAAGGGATTTCGGTAAGAACAATTATGAATATATGTTCCAAAACACTCTCTGTTTCTTTTAAAATCGAAGCTTTATTGGAAGAAAATAAAATGGAATTGAAGCGAGTGTTGGCGGAGAATGATAAAGGGGACCCATTTTTGGAAAAACGTAGAGGTACGTATGTGACTATTGGGCTCATACAGGGCTTTTAAAGCTTAATATCAATACACAATATGTAAGTTAAGATAGATAAAGCTCCATTTAGAGCAACATCCTTTGAATTGATCAACTATCGTAACTGTATTAGATTCCTTCTATGGACATTTTCAAGCCAGACAAATTTTATACACCTCACTCCAAAGTACCCTAAGTTCTGAGACTTCTCGCTCCTCTTTCGTGTCCGAAATGGCATTCAATGTTCGTGATACTTATTTCTGCACGATCTCTATTAAGGCAGACGACTGAAGTGTCCTGCATACCCTCCGAAAACATACAAGCTCACTCCGTCAATAATACGATAAATGTTCATCCCCATTTGGACTGTAATAGTCTCAAGTCTCGAAAACAAAACACCAAACCCTACAATCGATTTTAACTTTAATTTCAACGAGATCTCACTGCTTTATTATTTCGAAATTGCACAAGTCAAAACAGCCGACAACCCCACTTAACCTTAAATACCCAACTAATATTGTAAGTTTCCGTTTTGGTTTATTTTTTATTGCAGCTTCAAGTGATCATGAAAGCGATGTGGACAACACTAGACGTCCACTTTTTAAGAGGGTGAAATGTAAGTTACACGTTACACCTGCTTTTAGTTGACTACCCTGGCTCAAGTGGTTCGTGCACTAAATAGAGAGTTTTAGGCCAAGTCCACACTATAACAGACAGCTTTTGCAACGGCACCGGAAAACCATATTTGGATAGGGCTTTTGTTCACACATAAGAAAGATGAGTTCGGCGCGATTTCTGATCTGTAACGGATCAAGATCTTTAAAGTGGAGTGTCACATATCGGAGGGAGGAGGGGGAGGAGGGGTGGCAGTACAACACAGGCTAATACCATGTGATGTTTTATTTATTTTTTATTTATTTATTATTATTATCATTTGCAATAATGACATTGAAATACGAAAAATACAGAAACATACTAAAAGGGAAAGAGAACAAAAAAAAGTAAACGGAAATTACTTACATCAACATACGTAATACTACTTCACAATATCATTGCTTACAATTTACATTATTTACATTGAGATCACTTCGTGTGTATATACTAAAACAATTATTCTTCTCAATCTCGGTGAATAGTGGCTTTGGGAATATTTACCTCGCCGCTTTCGCGGCTCGGTAAATATTTGGCCACTATTCACCTCGATTTCAAAGAATAATTGTTAATTATTAACTTAATTTATAAGTTAATTATAAGTGAGAAGGATAAGAGAGATAATAATTTCTTCAAGTTAATCTTCCCATTTTCCATTGTGTTTTTAAATTATTTATAAATTGCGTACAGTTAATGGGCACCACATTAATTTTACAACTAGATCTAGTCGGCGTCTCAGGTTATCATTTATAGGACCAGGGATATATATCTGCATCAGAATTTGCTCAGGGGAAAGATTAATAAGAGTATTGTGGGACACATTAAACCATGATAAGATTTCATGATAAAACTTTTTGTTTACTTGTGAGAATGTATGAAAGAAAGCAAATTGAGCAGCACAAAGGACTTGTGCCAGAAAAATTAGAAAATACTCAACTCGTTAACCAAACGGATTTGATCCGCACGTAACTTGTAGCAAGACGATAATTCGACGGACGCAAATCAAAGTTGCTTCTATCCTGTCTCATATGATTATATTCATACTTTTCGGGATAAACTGTCAATCCAGACCTTAAATGCTTGTGTCTCCAGATCTCCGAAACATTTGGTTGAAATTAAATTAGAATTTATTTCTTCTCTTCAGGTATCTTTGGCTCGACCAAGAAATCCAGAAAGGGGAAGAAGAAGATGCAAGCCCTACCGCCGCAAGCGGCGACAGACCAACTTGCTTTAGTCGCACCGGAAGCGAAAACTAAGGACAAAGGTGTTTTTATACCTCTGATACTTACGTCGCATGCTTTTGGTGTTGAATGTTAAAATGGCGGGGAATCGTATCAAAATGATAATCATTATGACGTCATGATATGCCAGCCTCTAGAGATAAGATACCAGTACCCCCCCCTCCTCCAGTATCAACCACCCCAGCTCCTCCCCCCGGATGAAAAAAAATCGACCCGGTACCCACCCAAATTATAACATGGGGATGGCTTGTGACGCTATAAGAACTCTCTCTGTCCCTCCGACTCGGTGCATTTTGACATTTAAACTCTTGTCATTTTGACACGAAAAACGGTTTTTCTGGAAAAGGGCGGAGTAGTTGGTGGACTGTGATGTTTGTCAAGATGCCCACAGGCTCTCCCCTTCGCTCTTCCCATTGTTTTTCGCCCGCTCGCTCTTTCACTGCTCGCCTGCTCTTCTCTCTCATCTGCACTGAACAAGAGCCTGGAACAGACCAACTCGCCCAAAAATTGCAAAAACTCAGCAGAAAAAGCGAGGGTGATACCCTGCGAGCGCAGACTTATTTCTGGTCGTCGCTTCTCTTCACATGAAACGTAAAGAAAAGGGACGACCAATAATACGTCTGCCGGTTCGCAGGCTTCGGGCATGATGTCTGTTACCTATGAACAAGCTGTTAGCGATCAACGTGTACCAAACTAACTGAATATAAAAGCATGACTGTAATACGTTTTTTACATTATTCGATGCAGATGTGTCAAACACTGAACTTTTCACCGAGTCTGGAGCGGAAAGACGTCCTTCCAGGCGAAAGGGTAGCTCTGGAGAAGTGTCTGTTGTCAGCTTTGGGGCAAACATTGGTAAGACTGAAGGCTTAACTTTTACAAAGTGAAAACCCAACAGACTGGAATAAGCCGAGTATTTTTCTTGTCAAAAGTTTACAATAAGGTGTTTTCATTATTGAGAAAAAAGGTCTCCTTTCGGCTCCTTCTCACACCTGTCATCATCGTTACCTACTGTCCTCATTCAGCTCAGAAATAGCTGACGTTTTTGTCTTGATCATGGCTAGCTATGCTTTAATTATCAATCAATGATGATGACTTTCTTTCTTTTAACAACTGTATTTATGTCCAACCTTTATTGCGCTTCTAACAATAAACCTTCAAAGTTTCAGGAATCGCCTTTCCTCATAGCAGAGCCAAAGGTTCATTAAAAAGCTTGCCAGGCCTTCCAGTTATGTACTATTTCCCGGACGAATTTAAGGTACGGTCTCATAGCTATTAACAGGGAACTTAACTGAGCAAAGACGACCACGACAGCAGTGAAGACGTTGCTAAAAAATAATTTTGCGTTCTTTAACTGACTTTGTTACGTCTACTGGACCCTTTTCAATTTGTCAAATGTCGGCGGTTTCTCCTGAAATTGAATCCTTAGGGACTTCAAAAGGAGAAGGGAAAATTCGTCGTCCTGTGTTCTCAGACTTATTAATAATTCACAAAGAAAATACAAAGGAAATTAATGTTTAGTGAGTGTTTGGAAATCAGATTAAAAAACTGCTCATTCTTTCATCCTTAATTTCTCCTTCTAAAATCATTTTGTTTGCGAAGTAATATCAAGCATTCGACACAGTGTTTCATCACCAGATGAAACACATCGAAGTTCGTCAAAAATACTCCATTGCGCGTCGTTTTTTCAACTATCTTCTCGTTGTTTCATCTGGTGATGAATTGCTGCGACTCGTGCTTGATATATTACCTCACGTCCTTCAAGAAACATCGCAGGAGGTTTCACGTCGTAGACGTACGGTAGACGTCAAAGAAATGAAGTAAAAAGCGTGATGCACGTGCAGAGCTGTTGTTTTGCTCATAAAACCAATTGTTTTTTGACGTTGTTTTTGTCGTCGTCCCTTAAGTTCTGTACGAGTGTGCTCGCTCAGGTTGGAGGATCTATCTGTAATTTCATTTAAATTGTTGGCGAAGCATTATAAGCCTGTATGAAGCAGTATTAGCGTCTTATCCTAAATTCTATTTTCATTGTAAACTCTGTATATATTCGAGCGAAAGTGTCTTCTCGAATCTGGTGGCATAGCGGAATTTTAACCACTGAAACTGACACTCTAGAAAATGAAAAGCTTTCTACCTACTAAATTAGTTTGTTCTCGTATCAGGGAAGAAAATACGAAGAGCGCTTACAGGAAGCCCTAGGTTTCGTTCGTTTTCTCTTTGTCGCTCGCAACCCGCGCCCTTAAATTTTTCCTCTTAGTCTTTCAAGAGTAAACGTTCTCGCCCGACCTTTCTTATGACAATGTAAAACCAGTCGTATTAACAATAGCGAATATTTCTTCGTTCTCTTGAACGTGGGGTTTGTGCGAAATTTTTTTTGATCAACTCATGTTTGATGAGACAAAAATGTTCACAAAATCATCTATATTCGAGAGCCGTTATCTCGTTGGAATTGACAGGATGAATACAATATTATCGAGATAATTTCTTTGGTGAGTAATATCTATTGAGTTACCATAAAATAGGTGATATCTGTTCTGTTTTTCTTGTAGGATTCAGATCAATTGGATGAATCAGAAGGCAAGTAAACTCACTGTTGGCACAAAATCACTTTAAGCAAAAAAAGAGCGCCTTCAATGTGCATCATAGCATTTGCATTCCAAACTAAAGAACGAGGGCAAAACGGAACTACTGCTTCTCTTAAGACGTTGCGGATCAATTTAGGTTTCCCACCTACCCCTCCCTTAAGTCAACATTTTTCCCCAAGTGAGAAGTTAGTGTTAATGTTGGCTTAGGGGAGGGGTAGGTGGGCAGTTTCCCAGAAACCTAAATTGTTTCCGGCGTTGCTTGGACCTCGCTTAAAAAAGCGTACTGACAAATTGAAAGAATCAATACTAGCCTTGGCGCTCTTTTAAGTAAGTAAGGAACATGTAGATCATCTAACTGCCAAACAGTCGTGTAAACTCATTTTCCGCATTTTTCACCTTGTTTTCTTACGACAAGTTAAAAGAGGAAGAAATTCTTAATTCATTTTTCTTTGAACTAATTTAGGATATTTCCATTCTCGTCAGTGGAGGTCGAAAAATAGAAGCTGGCCGGAGAAACATACGGTAAGGCCCTGTAAACAAAATGTCGCCGATAACTTAGTTCAAGAAGTAAGGACACTATGTTATGAGCTTTCATGGCCACATCCTCACTTGATGCTAGACCTCTTTAGTGAGGAGGTTAGTGGTATCAAAAGGCCCTGCTTGAAGAAGTTAAGTCGATGCTATGAGAGTGCTCAAAACAATATCTTGCAAACAGCCCACGGCTGAAAAATGATGCCTTTTGAGTGTGGTTTGAACTCAGTTAATTTCATTGACTGTACTTAAGGAGTTTCTTATTACGAAAAAGATTTGACCTATAAACTATAGACTACGAGCAGTTTCTGCTTTGCCGCCCACCGCTCGCGTGCGTACCACCCACTTTGTATACGAAATGTAACGAAATGTACAGTTTATACGGGAATTAAGTTGTACGTCTTATTTAGGACACGTTTTATTTTTCCTCGTATAAGTGACCCTACTAGTATATGTGCTTATTTGCATGTAAGAGTATCGTGCTAATCCATATTAAAGCTGTACTACATTTTTCTAGTATTATATTTTCAACTGAGGAGATGATTTACCCTTCAGTTTCAGGTGCTTGACCAAATACCACAGAACGGGACAGAGGCCGGTAGGTTTCCACGCGACGAGATCCTGTTACAACTTTATGTAATGTTTTTTTTTTTCACAATCTCCTTTGTGCTGTCCAATAAAGAGACATTGCCTCAGAAATGAAGTCTATATTCCAATTCCTTTGAAAGAAGCAACAAATGAACATAAATGTCGCCTTTTTTTCACTGTTAAATTGCGTGCGTTCCGCCATTTTGAATAATTATGACGACATTCTATTGCTTAGAAACAGCCATTGTTTACTGCGCCAGCGGCGACTACTTGACGTCACATATTTCAAAATGTCTGTGGAGGGGGGGTTGTACGCTAAAACATCAATTTGTTTTAGGGGTAGAGTTTCCCTAATGTGTGCTTTTCCTAGTGTTCCTTTGGATGTAATATTTTGTGCTTGACCATATAACGTCCTTTTGTGACTGTTCAGGGGAAGAAGTTATATATAGATAGAGGCCCAAACGTTTTTTTTGTTTTGTTTTTTTCCAGAGCCGATAAATATTACCATGCATCCTAAGTCTCAAACAGAAAAGGAAGGAGCAAGAGTAGAGTTCAAATGCAAGGTTGACAAAAAGAAGGAAAATGTGATTTATCAGTGGCGTAAGGATGGCGTTGCAATACCTGGAAAGAATGACTCGACTCTTGTCCTGGATGTAGTAGAGCTGCGTGATTTTGGCAGTTATACGTGCTACGTGAAATATCAGGATTCATTTAATGAAGGCAAAGAGTCCATCTGCGCAACACTGGATGTTATACCCCAGTCTCGAAATGGAATGAGTGAGTGAACTGAGGTCTATGTTTCGAAATGGGAGGGAAACTGGGACGAGTTAACTTTCGCAATGGATTCTGGGTCTGCATCCCAGTAACGATCCCACAGACAATTGCGGGACACACTTCCGCTCCAGTCCCCTTCTCGTTGTGTAGCTACATAAAAGAAGAACACCCGCGGCAACCTCGTCCCCAGGGCTTTTACCCATTTTTTAAGGGAAAAGCCTCGGGGACGAGGTTGCACCCGCTGGTGTTAGCAATCAGGAGAGTTGACTGTTCTTATATTTAACACCAGCCTTTCACCTCTTCTCTTTCAGGACCCAAACGTTTGCGTGAATTGGATATTAACACGAGAGATGAAATTGCCCTGCTACTCCAAAAGATAAAATTTGGGCTAGGAGGTTTTAAGAAAGTAGCTGCTGAGTACGGCATGACACAGGTCCAAATAGGAGCGCTAGAGAATTCCAGGGAACCCGGAAACGATGTCTTGGAATTTATCGTGATGTCAAAGCCTGACCTAACAGTTTATAGCTTTTGCAAGACATTAAAAGGAGACAAATTTAAGAGGTGCGATATTGTAGGAAAGCTGGAGGACCACTTTTTGGTTCAAGATGAAACAAACAACACGAATTTTTTAAAGAATTCTGAGTAGGAACAATTTTCTGGAAATATCTTCTCTCCTCGTACTTAAAAATTACCCCTTTTTGTTTCCTAGTGTCACTTTTCTTTCGTAATGGAGTGGCTAAACTATCTTTTTTAATATTGTGATGCAAATGTTGGATGAAAATGATCAAATATTGAAATCCATTTAAGTACAATGTTGAGAGAGACGATAGTGTGCATAACAAAATGACATTTCTTCGACTGCTTTTTATATATTAAAATATACGTATGGTTGACGGAAGAAAACAAGTAACTACATAAGTATCCCTACAAGCCTGTTTCGTGGTTGCCCACTCATCAGGGGATTTTAATGAGAATAACTTTACCATTACTTATATACTAGACTGATTTACATAATTTATTCAGTGCGAGGTTCGTTACATCAGTTGTTGCGCAAGAGGGCTTTGTTTCTGTGGCGGCAGGAAGACACGAGTTCATTACGTTTGTTAAGTGTAGAGAGTTCAGGTCGGCAGATGATAAGGAATTTTTCTTTAAGACATAAGTTGCATCGTTTGCTTGAGCTGTTGTACGGCAGGTGTGAAGATAGAATGCGCCAGGCGATAGAGTAGTTGATGTTGTTTTCTTTAAGAGTCCAGACGTGTTTGCTGAGTTCAGTGGAGTTTCTGTTCTTTGCGTGACGGAATGATGACATGTGGTTGCTGTATCTTGTTTTGAAGTCGTTCGCAGTAAGCCCGATGTACGTTTCTGTCGTGTTGGTGTCTTTTCGTGTGACAGTAGCTTGGTAGATGACAGCAGGCTGAAGGCAGTTCCCGTTGAGCGGGCATGAGTTCTTTTGTCGGCAGTTGCATTTCTTGTTGTTATTAAAATATATATAACTGATGTATATATTGGCAATTTAGCCAGTCTTTTATCAAAACCTGGAAACACTCATGAAGTTAATTCATCGCTAGTGGAGAATTATATCAACTTGTATGTAATTATCTCATTTAGTAAATAAAGTTTATTGAAAGTTTACGTTTGCCTTTTAGTGCATGCATACTAGCGTCAATCCAGGAGAGGTTCTAAGGTGTGGTGTCTGGATGTTATTAAAAAGGAGAACGGAAAATGAGGAACGGGGAAGGAGCACAGCGAAAGGAAAAGATAAAACCAAACTTTTTGTCTTATTTTTCAATTCCCGTTCCTCGTTCCCTGAAGTTTCGGGACGTCCAAGACATAACGCTAAATGAATAAGGTATTATGGGATACTGGTGTAAAGTATTGCCCAACATTTTTTTCCTCCGGGACAGTAAAAGTGTTTGAACATTTCGAAGCGTATCTCTGTATTCCACTCGGTCGCTAATCCAACTAGCCTACATTATTCGAGCCAGTGATCTCATCTTTCTTGTTTTCCGTTGGCGTTACTTTTAAAATTGTTTATCAGAATTTCGCAAGACGTCTCCACTTCCAGGTCAAGAAATTTCTTACCCCCACATCATTCGTCGATCCGATCGTGCTCCTGACCCTTTTGCTTCCTACGTTCTATTGTGGGCTAAAAATATGACAAACGTGAGAATATCAGGAAACGGAAGTGGTATTTTATAATGCAGAGCACGTTACACGTTACACGTTACGTTGCAAAAAAATATCGATTTGCAAAGTTCTGATTGACTTTTGTAGAAGATGAGTTCGTAGAATCGTGATGGGGTTCTCCCAAAAATAGCCGAGACTCCGATCAACAACGTTTGTCTTAGTTAAAACAGCACGGATTTGGATGTTGCCTGCGACAAAGGAAATAGGAGACGTCTGCACGTAGGCAAATTTGGATGTCGTCATGATTTTAGTGATTACCACCCACCAGGGGTAAAAAGTTTGAGGAAGGGGCTGTTTTCGTTCGTGTAGAGCTTCAGTTTCAGCAATTTCAGCGCTAAAAAATAAAATACATCATCCACAGCGAAAGGACCTTGCTTTTATCACAAAAGAGAGAAACCCTTCAGAAAAATGAATGTTTTCCGGGGGGTATTCAACAAAGTTTTGGGGGAATGCAGTGCCTCGAGGTGCCGTCGAAAATCAAGGAAATGTTTTGGTTACGTTAAAAACAAAAAGCTGCACTTTTTTATCTCCGTGTAACCTCCTAAAATACTTAAATGGAACTAAATGCATAAGGGCATCTCTTCGGGATACTTGATTAGCATAAATGTTTTAACTGATACCTACGCTGATGGTTGGCATGGGTCGCACTTGGCAAATTTTTGCGAGAATTTGTTTACCTTGCGGTAGAAATCTGTCATCGGTGGACATTGCTAAGTGCGACCCCGAGTTTTCAAGTTAGGAAAAACTTTGAAAATCGGCAAAAACATCAAAGACGCCGTAGTGCTTGGGTGGGGCAGGCAGATTTTGGAAAACTCGAGCTAAACAATAGGAATCACAGCGGCAACTGTCAGCGCTTGTCATGAACGTGATCCATTTGAAACACGATCAATTTAAAATAACACGGTCGAATTTTCAGACCTTCGCGAAGAGGCTTTTACTCGGCTATCCTTCGCCATTTCAAGTTTTTTTCGAAAACTCTCTTCAGGCAAGGACTTCACTCGCTTATAAACCTTCGCCATTTTCAGGTTTTTACGGGAACGAGCTCTATTGAAGGCGAACCAGTTCCCGTCTGCACAAGCAAACACTTCACAGGTTTGTTATTCTCCAAGCCAAATGTACTATTCGCATCCAAGCACTTTCCGGTCTTCTTTATCTGTCCCATCTTCCTGAAACTGGGAATGGAGGATAAAGATCCTTCGACAGAGGTGCGGACGAAGAAGAGAAAAATGTTTTCTGGTATCTGGCGTTCTTAAGTTCTCAATGTGTCAAAGCAAAAACTATTAACTCCCACTAATGCGACCCTCCTCGGTTGGACTAAAAGTTTTCTTTTCCGGTGGCGGTCTCGAATTTTTGTGGTTTTTTAGCCGGCAAAGATGAAAACTTTTCCCAAGTGCGACCCATGCCTTATATATCTAAATTCTCCTTTCCACTTCAAAAATCGGAAGTTATGTTCTTTGTTCTTCTAAGTGTCAGTGCATGTTTAACGTCACAAAGAATGCATGGGCGTGCCTCGAAGTCTCATGTTTCTCAGCTTTTGATTAAATAAATACCCTGTTATTGACTCATCGGACAGATAAGAAGAGCTCTGCGTTTCTTCGACCTTTGTTCAGGATTAATACGAGGTGTACATTCACTTATCCTGTGTCAGAATGCTTCGGTTTTGGGACATGATTTTAAAGGCAATTCTGGTGGTTTTCCTTACGAATGGAGCATTTACCATTGGTAAGTCCAACGAAACGCACAAGCGAAAGAAGTTACGCTGATATGACGCGATATGTAGTCGACGCTGTCTAGTGCGCGCCGAAATCCCAATCTTGTTTGAATTTCAGACATAACAAGTCATCCAGTATTAAGACCTCTCTTAACACGCACTTTTGCGACTTTCTAATTATTGATAAACATATGAGTTGCATTACTGTATTTGGAATTTCAAAGCATTCTTAGAGGACATGAATTTGCTATTGCGTAGCTTTGTTTGGCAGGCATATACTGTTTCAACAATGATTCTTGTTTGTTCATACTTACATATACTCATATATTCTACAAGTGAATTGCGCTAAAATTTTCCTCACAACGGTCTGCTTTTGGCAAAGGAAGGCGTTTCGATTTATTTTTGTTCGTGTCTAAATTAAATGATGGAACTTGCAACCACAAACTTCACTTATTATCAGCTTTAGTTCTGAGTCTCGCTCTTATTTTTACTAGGTATCTCATTCTTATGGCCACAATTTTATCACTCCCAGCAAACATTGTGTCTATCTTCAAAGATTACTTCAAAGATTAATCTAATCTTTACTCTGCTTTACTACATCACATAAAATCTAGACCAGTTTGCATTGCGTGCCTAGTTCCACCGGTCGAAAATCCACCGAACGCTTGCTACGGGAGCTACAAATTTTCCCTGCTCAGTCACTTGCGTTATTATAAGACCGAAATATTTGCACGTATTTGTTCACTTTAAATTTTTTGCGCGATAAAGATATTTTTGCGTCTTTTTTTTACACCAATTTTTTTAAAAATACGTCACAAGTACTTAATTGCTAGACGGTGACTTTGCAACTTCTTAAAATAGTGTTTGGCATGGAACATAATACTAAAAAATCCGATCTTCAATCTGGTCTACGAAACGAAACGTTACATCATTCGCCCTTTTTGCATTGATTTACAGAAATTTCCTCTAATTCCTTTGTATGCTTGATTGGATAAAAAATTGTGCCCTTTTATGGATTGGGTTTTTTTGCGTGTTATCAGTGGTGTTATGGCGTTCGTTTTTCGGATGAATTTGTCTTTCGTTTCGTGACGTTTAGGGCTTAACCCTTTAAATCCCAAGACTGATTAGCATCAAATTTCTCCTTGTCATAGCAATGCTTTGTAAAACAGAGTGGTCATGAGAATTAGAGACATGATCACACAAGATGTATTTACTTGATACTTTATTAACTTCTCCCCACTACTTTTATAGTAAATGAATATGCGTGACAAAGGAGAATTTTAATTTTGATCTTAAGGTTTAAAGGGTTAATACTCAGGTCAAGCTAATGACAGAGGTAAATGAGAGACTGATTATATTCCTGTTTACATTAGGTCTACCGAAACTGAAAAGTAATTCCACTCTCACAGAATTTTAAAATCCATTCTCTTATCGTCTCAGTATCAGTTCTTGCGCATCCCGGATCGGAGGAAACTTAAAATGGGCCACGCTCCCAGGTTACGGGATTGTACGTATAAGCCTGGGAAAAGAGCCAGCTTTGTGGAGCTGTCATCGCGCGCTGTGCGTGTACGTATACGCAAAGTACTCATACACAAAGTACTCTTACATAATTACATGGGATACATCTTGGAAAAAAGGCTAGTTTTTTTTTTCGCTTCCGCTCTAACTTTCGGGCAATAACTCGATTGGAAACGCTTGCTACGCAGGCTAAAAAAAAAGCGGACAGGTAACGATTTTTATATGATGTAGCTTGGGCGCAAAGGTCGAAGCGCAGAGAGGGGAGGGGTAAACTAAACTTGTTTTCGTAATTTACAAGCATTAAAATAAACATAATCAAGTCAAACATTGGCGAGCATCATAAGCCATACGTTCGTAGAAAATTATTGAGATTAAGCAATAGTATCCTCCCACGCAGGGGTTGAACGCGTGACGAATCAAAAGCACGTCTACGTGGGAGGCATAAACCCTTAAAATCGTCGCATTTTTTAAATTTTTTTCATGTTACTTTATAGTTTCCGTGAGCCGTTTCATGATATGTCAGCCAACTGAATGAAAAGTGCTGAAATATCCTAGCCCCTTTTAAAAAAGCAAAGTTGGTGGGGTGACGATCTTGGAGCAGTTTTGGAGTTCATAATAAACATAGACCTTCGATTCTGTCATTTATCTTATACATGTTTAAGTAAAAATGTCCAAGTAACGGAAACAGGTCATCAAACGTTGGAAGTTTCATCATTTTGCGATCTGTAAAGAGCCTAACCTCCTTCAATGAAAACTCATAACCGTGCTAACTTTTCTGTTTAAAAAAGTAAAATGAAAAAATCTCGAATGTGAAGGTCTCTATAAATGCTGCTTTTATTCCCAGGTATTGTTCAAGAAATTGATATGTTCAAGGAAGTTGGACTGCTTGACAAATCTCTCCCACAAGGCGTCACTTCAACACAGGGACAAAACAGCAACAGCAGCGCCTTTCACTTTACCACACAAGCTCAAAACCTCGTTGCAAATCAGAACGCTTTTAATAACGCAGACACGCTTATTCACGACAGTCAAGATTTTTGGGTCTCTGCATGGGTCAAGCTTGATACAAATAACCCTAACGACAATACCATCCTCTCAATTAGCTCTGCAGACGGAAATGACCTGTATTTCAAGCTGAAGATATCGTGAGTTAAACTGAAATGAAGTGTAAATACTTAAGCTCCCGGCGGAGGGGGGAGGGCACTCCCATATGAAAGTGAGGGCTTGGATGCTCGTCGTCTCTCTAGGGTGCACATTGCAGATTTTGGCCTCACTTAGGGTGTTTGGGGCGGAATGTCATTATATTTGCCCATTCTGGTATCACTTTGGGCTGTTCATAAAGAAATTGACAAAAACTACCGTGACATTGAGAAAACGGAAATCTCCTTTAGGGGTCAGCAGGAGTCAGTGTAAGTTTCAGCCACACCCACACTGGTCTTCCTTAGGGGTTTATTTTTAATTATCCACGAGCATCCCTGTCACTTTTAAAAATATGGTAGCCCCCCCCCCCCCCGGCCCTTAACTTTCCCAAGCCTGCGAGCAAGCTCTCCATTTTTTGTTGAGCGAAGCGAAAAGCGAGAGAACGTGTTAGCGGCCCTTTCGCGTGCTGGTCTTGCGCGACCTCTCGCGACTCCCCTAAATGGAGAGCTTGCGCGCAGACTATAGCTCCCCCGGCACTATCCAAACATTACAGTACGCCAAACGTTGGTATCATGGTTAAAATTGTAGGCCTGGTATTCCTCTAATAGGCTAAAATCACATTGTAATTATACATAAAACCCCAAAACAACTGCTCACTTTTATTCAATACTCTACCAATTTCTCCCAACCACAAAAAAAATGTGTTCCTCTCAGTACTGAAACGTCTTCCTCTTCTCTCTTTCTTTCAAATATTGTGACATAGCCTACAACTGTCCTCATTTAAATCCCAAATCTTTTTTAAAGCCAAGGCAGTCGTTTGGAGTTCACTCCAGCCAAAAGGAGATTGAATATATTTCTGCTTCCAATAGTGCTAGTTTCACAATTTACTCTATTTCTCCTCCTCCCTCCCATTCCTGATACTTTACGGGCTTCCTCCCTTGAGCTTCGGAAGGCTCTACGATACACGTATTTCTAGTTTCAGAAATAATACGTCATAACAAAGCCGTTGAATCACACGATCGCCTGGGGCGAGCCTGGCAAAAACACACTCTGCGTGTCGTTTTCTTGCGAAAGGGTATACTCCAAGTTCGTTCGTTCTCACTGTTGTTTCTGAGAAAAGTAAGAGATTGTTTATAGTCTAGTGGTGATGTAAACAAATGTCGCTTTATTTTCAGAGGTGTCAGTGCCAACAATGGCCTTAAGGTCGAAGTTTCAGTGAGGCAAGCACCAGGGATTGATCCCAGTCCCATCGAAGCTTTATCTGACCAATACGCGAACACGGTGGAGTACCACAAATGGAACAAAGTCGCAGTACGGTTGCAAGAAGGCGAGCGGGTTATTAGAATTTACATTAAAGACATGGTCATCCCCGCAAAAGTGGACGTGTTACCTCGTATCGCTCCCTTTCCCGCAAATGCTGAACTCCGTCTCGCTCAAGAATTATCAAAGGGGAGAGAGAACCAAATCACTATCATAGATAAATTCAAGGTAAAATGTCCTAAACGCCGAAAATTTTTTCAGGCAAAAAGACGGAAGTGAATTCACCACTCTAGAAAATACCACAACATATCATAATGCTCTTTATTTGTCACGCCACAATTTTGTGTAAGTATTGTTTTTAGTTTCTCTTGGGGCCATTTTAACTCCTAAGAGAAACTGAAGACAATGCTTATGCAAAATTTTGGGGTGACAAACAAAGAGCATCATGTTATGTTAGGGTATTTTCTGGAGTGGTCAATTGCTCAATGACACGTTTATGATGATTAAATTTCTTTTCTTTTTTCCAGGGAGATCTTCAAGATGTGAAGCTTATGAGAGGAAATTTGAACGATTGTCCTCCTCTTACTACGGTAATTTGACGAGATTAAAAACCTAAAACCTGCGGTAAAAGGCCAAATGATAAAACTTTAAAACCCCAAACCTTAACTATCGTAAAGGGAAAATTTACCTCTTAACTCTAATTTTCAAGTAAATTTGGGACATCCTCGTAAATTGACTTAGAACTTTGCGGATATTGAACTTCTTCCCAGTCAGTGAGCAGATACAGCAAAACCAGAAACGGAAGAGTTGATGTGGATCCAAAACTGGACTGGTTTTCTTACTCACAAAATTCCAAAACCAAAAGGAAAAATCGTCAGTCACTACTAAAGGAAGCAATTCCTAACTGAAATCTTTTGACACTCCCTGATACTGAAGCAAAAAAGCCGTTCCCGTATTTATTCGATTAACCGCCCTGGGCGCATATTAAATTTTTGGACCTTGAGAGTGGGCGCTTATTCGAGGCGGGCGCTTATTCGAGGCTGGGCGCTCATTAAATTTTCTCCATTCTCAGCAAGCGTAGTAGTATATTTTGAAACAAAACAGTAAATGCTAATAACAAAAAGCGAAGATGTAACAAAGCAAGGTTCCTGTAAAATACCCTGAAGAAAACTCCGTATTCGGGAGTGTCTCTTGTTATCTCTCATTGGAGTTTTTGTGGGAGGGAGTGGGGTAGGGTGGGCGCTTATTCGAGTCTGGGCGCTTGTTAACTTTTCTGCCTTTAGGAGAGGCGCTTATTCGAGGTGGGCGCTAATTCAAGGTTGGGCGCTTATTCGAATAAATACGGTATCTTTCAAATCCCTTAGGCGTCGGACTGATCACATAGGCCCCCAACGCAGACGTTCTTGGGGGTTCGTCTGTGGAGCAGGAACGCGTGTCGAACCCCTAAGAACGTGTGCGTGGAAGGCTAAAGGCTGGTTTTCACTAACGACGGAGTCAGAGTCGTAATCAGAAGCGTAGAGCTTATAATCTAGTGAAAACCAGATTGTCGGAGTAGGAAGCAGAAGCAGAAGAGCCAAACCAATCACAAAAAGTGGGAACGTGCATTGTCCTTGGTTTATCCTTCCGCTTTAGCCTGCGTGGCAGGCGTTCGAAAGGGGAGGGAGAGGGGATTAGGGCGCGAGACCACGCGCGAGGGAGGAGGGGAACGGCGTTTCCCTCCCTCCTTCCTCGCGCGCTCCTCGCGTTTCTCTCGCGCATAAAACTCCCTTTCCCTTTCCTTTCAATTGCCTGCCACGCAGGCTACTTCCGCTTCTGCTTCCGACTCCGACAATCTGGTTTTCACAAGATCATTAGCGGAACGTAAGCGACGGAGTCGTAAGCAGAGTCAGAAGAAATGGAAACGTTCTGATTCTTCTGACTCCGATTCCGTCGCGCCTATGACGCCGCTTACGACTCCGATTTTTGATTTTCACTATGTCATAAGCGCTCTTACGACTCCGCTTACGACTCCGTCGCTAGTGAAAACCAGCCTTCAGGACACGAGTATTCCTTTTAAACTGTGACAAAGCAAACCTTATACAAACAGTTTTCCAATTTTTTAGCCGTTTTACAGCTAACAGAAGACTACAAATCACTCGGTTTATCTTATAAATTAACCGCTTCTCGTAAAACGCGAAGGACCGGCAGAATGGCTGCCTCCTCGCTATTTATTTTTCACCCTCACAGCTCGCATTTTGACCATGCTGTTGTACTGCAGTCTGTACGTGCTAAACCCTTTTGAGACTCTCAACCAACCATGCTGCTGTTTGTTCCAATGCAGTGCAAATGTTCTGACGCGTTACAGCAAAAGAAATGCGTGATGGACGGCCTTAGTTATGACGACGGAGCTCGATGGACCAAAAACAACTGCACCGTTTGTAAATGCGAGGTGAGTGTGCGCATTATAGAGCGGATTTCAGGGTGGGTTTTGATTGACTCAAAACTCGCGCCAATTTTTTTTAATTTGGCCACGACTTCGTGGCAGATGTTTTCCCGCGCTTGGCAGCTGCTGCATGTATTTGCTTGGAGATCTGATTGGCTCATTTCATTATCTGTGTGTACAGTGATTGGCCAAAGTTGTTGCTTTGATTACAACAACGACAATCTCTCTTTGCAGAAATACAATTTAAAATATCTATTTTTTATGAACTAATTGAGCCTGTCCACAGTCTCTATTTATTTACTTATGTGATTAACTAACTACTTATTTTTTTTGGTATGTTTTCAGTCTGGACATGTGACTTGCACTTACACGTGTAAAGTCTGCGTAGATAATGGCCAGCAGTATTTCCAAGACGAGACCTGGAAAATGTCTAATAACACCTGCTACACTTGCCGCTGCCAGGTAATGATAAGATGTAACAGGCTGTGAGTTTTCGCGAAGGTACTGAGAAAGGGAAGAAAGCACGTTTTCGTTTGCGAACACAATTTTTGTCAGGTGCTACTAGCCTTCGAATACAACAGTCACTCCTTGCTCCTCGCCGCCAGGGACGTTTCGCGGGAGAGGCGTCAACGTCCCAAGCGGCGATGAGCGAGGAGAGACGGTTGTATTCCCAAGCTAAGCTGCTACTCCCATTTGATGAAAATGAAGCTCTTTTTTTCTTTCTTTCTTTCTTCTTTTTCTCCCTCTTTCCTCTCCTCCTTCGTCCTCTATTGACTCTTGTGGGTTGTTTGTTCTTGTCTGAACATCTTAAGATAAAGGCATGGCAGTGCCAAACCCCTTTCACTGATTTTAAGGTTATCTTTGGGTATATAGCAGTGAAAAAAGCAAAAATACGATATCCACACACGACCTACGTTAATCTTACATAGAATGAACAAAATGAATATACTTGCCTAGTAGTCCATTCCACCACACGTTTAACTGACGCCTTTCTTTCTCTCTCTCGTCTCCTTTCTTCCTTCTTCTTTCTGTCTTTTTTGCTCTACTGAGTCAAAAACGTCGTCAGTACAGAGTTAATACAATGTTTGCTATTTCAGGATGGTCAATCCACTTGTAATCCCCCTTCCTGCCCAGTAACCAGCTGCCCGTCTGGAAAGACCGTTTTACCTGAAGGAGAATGCTGCGAGATTTGTCAAGGTACTAGTTTTTCTTGTCGTTTTTTGGTCTCCATGGAGCTAAAAATGTTCCAGCCATTCACAGACGCTCTATTCTCTCTTTAAAGATCGTCGAAAGCGCGTGTGAAAGGAAAATCGCGCGCTCCCCTCGCTCGCTGAGCCCCAAATTTTCGGGGGAGGGAAAGAAAGAAAAGAAAAGAATGTTCCCATACAAGCGGTAAATACGTAGCCTTCTGAGAGCATGTACACAAAGCACCGCATTAAATGAAGCTGCCCGCACAAGTTTCCCTTTTCTTTTTTACCTGTTTTCTTTTCCTTGTGGCACTTTTTTTTTCTTGCTGGTGCCGTCTGCTCGTGCTTTCTGGCTTTCTCTTCGTCTTGTGCCCCACATGAGAGTTTGTTCAGAGAATAGTTTTTTACTACTTGTGGCATCACGATTTTGTTTTTTTATTTTAGAGGAATACTGTGAGAGAAAAGGAAAAGAATATAAATCATGCGGCTGTGAAAGGACATGTGTCAACCCTTCGGGATCTTGCAGTTCGTGCAAGAAGGAAGGTTGCTTCTGTAAACGAGGCGAGATTTTGAACTCGCGAGGGGAATGTGAGGCTAACAGCAATTGTGGTTGCATTTACAAAGGAAAGGAATATAAGGTAAGTCCCATTCGCCCTTGCGATCTCCCGTGAGAGCTGGAATGGCGCAGTCGTTAGAGCCCCCACCTCCCACCAATGTAGCCCGGGTGCAAATCCCTGAGTGTCGGTGTCGTTTTTGGGTTTAGTTTGTAGTTGGTTCGATTCTCTCCCTTGCTCCTGGAGGTTTTTCTTCGGGTACTCAGGTTTTCCCGTCTCCTCAAAAACCAACATTTCCAAATTCCAATTCGATCCGGAACGGATCGCACACACACATTCAGTCGAGTTCTTAAGAACTCCCAAGTGCTTCATAATTACAAAATTGCAAAAGGAGAGAGTAGAAAGCTTCAAAACAAGACCTTCATATAGTTGGGATTCTTTGGGCTGCCGACTGGGCCATGCAGGGGTTTATTATTTTGGGACGTATAGATTATAATTACACTTTTTACCGGCTTGAGTGTATAGCTACTCTTGATGGGAATAGCCTTTTGAAGCAAGAAACGATTAGCATTATTTTTAACTGGAACATTTCCACAACTCACCTCCTTCTCCTATCCCTATGCCCCCAAAAATACAGTATGACAGTACTAACGTCACTAATCTCATCTTACCGGAAATTCCAGTATGAAAAGGAAAGACTTTTAACACGCAGGGAGAGAACTGCAACAAGCTGAAGCATTTCCCGTGGAAACCGTGGGAGGGTATTGTTTTTGCAGCTCCCACGCGCGCAGGTTAACTTCCTCATTCGAATACCGTATTTAGATAATCGTATGGCGTGGATATAGTATAGGGCCAATAACTCCACCCAATAATTTTGTGTTCGTTTCAAATCGACTTCTAAATGTGTTCGCCAGACGACCTGAAATGACCCGTTTCCTCCCCGCAAAATCAGCTCCATTGATGGGGGAATGGGGCACGTAAAGCCTTCTGGGAGTTTCGTCTGCCATTTTGTCTTTTCACGACATAGATGAAAGGTAATTCTTGATTGGGCGTTGCCCTGACGGGCATCCCAATAATCATCCTGGTAAGAAGGATTTCCTTTACATTTAAGACAAATCTGCTCGAACAGTGTCATGAGCTCTCAGTAAGTGGTTGTATAACGCACGAAGAGTAAATCTACATCGTTGGTTATCAAAAATTTTAAACATGAGGCTTTTCAATTCTCCATCCATGCCCGGGACGAGGGTACTCAACAAATTTTTGTTCGGGGCGGCTCCGCCCAGAGGTCCAGCCCCTTACCTTTTTATATACGATTTTTTTTTTTTAAGAAAAAGGTGCCCCTTTCACATACCTTTTTTAGAACTTTGCATCTCTTTGCGTTCGAGGTACGACACCAGACAAACGAACACTTTAACTCTATGTTATTTATTAGCAAAAACTTATAAACCAGCCCACAGTAGCGCCGCTCTCGATTCACTGAAATCAACACGCTCGACCAAATTACTGGAAAAGTTATTGAAGTGAGCCGCACACACATTCCACTAAAGGCTTTGACAGGATTGGTGCGAAATTTGAATTCAGATGTGAAAGCTTTTAAAAAAGTAAATTCAGTTTAATTCATTTTGTCGACAAGTTGATGATTGAATGCTCTTAAAAATAACAGAGAAAATTATCCGGAGAAATGTTTTTGAAGAAAGAAAAAGAATCCCGGGTTAAGCGCTAATCGTCCTTTGAACAACTGCGCCTTGTAAACATGGGACAAACTTCTTTAGATGTGTGAATGCTAGTGTCATTTCCTTCAAGCTACACTTTACTGCTATACTGTTTCACTTATCAAGTTTGCGTCTTTTTCCTTTACAAATTTAGTTTGTTTTTTGCCATATAGATATATATATTATTTTTCGTAGTTAAAATAACAAGTATTTGTAATTATTATTTTTTTTTTGTCAATAAATAAAAAAAAAGAAAAGAAAAAATAAAAAAAAACTGCGCCCTGTAATCGCGCCAGTAAAACAAAAGTTAAAATGTTCTATTTACACGCCCGACGCACTCTGGCCACTGTCTCCTCCGATTACAAGCATTTGACACTAAACCATATTATTAGTTTCGTTGTACGCAACCCTTGGGTTCAAAATATGCCATAATCATATTTATTTATCGCAAGAACCATCCAATCTTCCCCCTCAACTGTTACCCGTCTGTACGCCTAACAAACATATCGAACGCACTCTCCTAAGCTCCCATTACTCCTAGTTTAACTCTTGTAAATGCACTGTCGTTTAAATAGGAATCAGTCACAAAAATAGAACGTTTTCTCGACTTTATAAAGCCGTAAAATTCATCTGTTAGCCGTTTTGGACTCTTTCACAGACCTAAATGACAGATTTCTACCTGAAGCATGAAAAAAGTACCCCTTTCGGGCGGAGCTTCCCCGTATAGACCATTATAAGGAGTACCCCCCCGGGCATCCATGTTAACAGCCGCTTAGTTTCTTTCGATTCTCGATTCTTACTAATAATTTTTTTTTTCTCTTAACAGTCTGGGGGTCATCACTTAGATAAGTGCACCTACCTCTACTGTGCTGGTAAAAAGACGACTCTGCTCAATTTTTGCGGCAAATAAACCTTATGGCCATCGACGTAGAAGAAGAAAGTGAAGCAGAAGCAAGTGGAATTAGGGAATTACTTTGTACGTTTTTTGTACCAATTCGGTGTCAGACCGTAATCAAATGTATTTTTGCATCGCTAAAATCTGATTGTAATTTCTTTTCTGTTCCAAATTCCTCTTGTCACTGATAAGATGCCATTTCCTAGATGAAAATGGTCACACATCAGAAAATTTCCGCTTTTCCATTTTGTGTGCCTCGTTTACTTGTTTGTTTGTTTGTTTGTTTGTTTACGCTTGTAAACGCATTTCCTTTCCCTTGATTCACCTTTTTTTTTAGTAGAAAGGGCAAATATTTTTGGTGTTGCAATTTTGTAGGTTTTGGAAAATGAAATGGTTTAATTTGTTTCATTCGTGTCGAGGGGCATCTTTTTAATTAGCGATTTCTTTTTCCTGTGTAAGTCCTATCCTTTCTGCTCCTACTTATCTCCAGCTAGAACTTTAGATGGCTCCAGGGATAATTCCATAGGCAACAGGACCGTGCCAATTCCGCTTTTTCTGCTTCCACTGAACGCAGAGATATGAAAGTTCACTTCCTGTAAGAAAAATTGTAATTAAAAATTATTAATATCATTATATATCAACTTTTATTATATAGACACGAGTGTTGAACTGGAAAATATACCACTGGTAAAATTCATAAAAACTACATCCGGGACCCGAGTGGTTTATTTTCCATAATCTCACAAGTGAGTTTATCGATGGCGTAATTTCAATCATTTCCCTCTATTATTTTATCAATGTCTTTTTGTCTATATAATAAAAAGAACATTACACGGCGGCTTGAAGATATGAATTTTATTTTCGAGTGGCAAAAACAATATTTTACTCACTCGCTGCGCTCGTTCGTAAAATATTGTTTTGCCACTCGAAAATAAAATTCATATCTTCGCGCCACCGTGTAATATCCTCTATACATTTGTTTTGCTGTAACTTTATTGTAATTTACTTGAGTGATTCTAAGTATAAAGTAGGTTTTGCTCACGTTATAGTTTAGGCTTTCACTAAACCAAGAGAGCAATGGCTTTGCTAACCGGCGTTATAAGAAGCTGGCATTAAAACAAGTGATGAACAACAGCGTAAAGAAGCACTGTAAAACAGATTCGAAGGTTGTCTGTGTAATAAAATGGGTTTCGTATTCATTGTGTGAGCCTGCCATTTCCGAGGCTGTAAAACCGCTGCCAGACTGTGTTTGTGTGAACAGTAACTGTCGTAGAAGTTTCTTTTCCTGAAAATACATTCTTCGTTTATCGTTTCTTGTTTGGTTCAGTTGCATATAAACACTTTCGCTCTTATAAAATTGGCGTGTTGAGAGTGAGCAAATTGTCGAGCTGACCCCGATCTCGTGATTCAAGCCGTTGGGCAAGGATGTAGTTCAACCAACACCACTTATAGTAAACTGTCTCAAAATAAAACCTACGTACACTCACCCAGTAGGAGGTTTGTTGAACACCGCGGGCGCAAGAGAACGCAATGTTGAGCACCTGATTTTCCTCCCCTTGGTCCCCTTCTAAGCGAACATCAAACAAGCTTTGCTCTACCTTTAAAATCAATTTTATATCTAACGTTGTCTGAGCAACACAGTTAAGATGGATAGCTCCCTCAGTAAGCGGACACTAAGAGCTGGTCCCTGACGCTCTGCAGTCATTTTTCAATAGCTGAATTCCCTCATAGACGGACACCGCTCCAAATCTCTATAAAGGCTTCTTTTTTAAGTGAAGGGAAATCTTAGTCTTAAACAATTTCTTGTTCCGTTGTAATGATTAAAGACATATCACCAAATTGCCTTTTATTGTACATGTATGCAGTGTATATGTACCTTTTGGTCTACTCAGCTTTGTTAAGAATTGGCTGCAGTAAGGTTACTCTGGATCATTAAATTAGACAGCTCTTTACAGTGTAACATGAAAACTATAATCTGGGGGAAAAATTGTTAAGAAAATGTTGTATGTCAAATTTAACATTAGTTCTTTAAAGCACTATCGATTTCGCAATTCCCAATTTATTTCGCAAATATTTCTAATTTTTCACCAAAATCATGGACTAATCTCTTTGGAAAATTCCAATTTTGTGACTATTATAAAAATATATTTTTATAGGCTAGAAAGTCCTCTTTTCTATCTAGAATATCAACCAACTATACTTCTTAGCATATTTGCCCAAAAACGTGCCATGAAATTAATTCAAGTTTTTAACCAAATGGAGGTTTGTGTGCTCTTTATTAATTTAATTTAATTTATTAATTCATTTATCCATTCTATTTTCTTCTTTTTCACCTGCTTATATGTACACTTAAATATACACTGACTGACCTTAATTGGATGGGGAGCTAACTGGGAAACATTACAATTTATTTCCCAGCTGGCACTCATTATTTCTCTTATATTATAAAGTTATAACCTAGCACAATTTCAGTTATCTAAAGTTAAAAATGTAATTTCACCATGAGATAAATAAAGAATTACTATTATATTACTAACCTACAACTATGGCATGGCACTTAATTGCTTTGTATATACAGCCTCTGATATTGTAGTATAATCCACCTGTTTCCAAAGATCGGTGATGCGTGTTCAGTCGGTATTCCACACTTCCTCTGATCTTACTTAAATACATTATTCAAGCAAGCTGAAAATGTCCGCGCCTGCATCCTTCTTAATGGCCATACAGCGGAGTTGGTACGTGTGCTTCAGTGCTAAAATTGGTACGGTGTTCAGATGCTCTCTCTAAAAAAAATCGTCTGCACACAGGATAGTAGTAGATAAGGCACCGGTTACGCCGTTTCTTTGCGGATTTAATTAACTTTTTGTGCGGTATAAATTAACGCAGATGGCGTCATGCATCTCATTAAGATAGGATGATGTCATAGTTCAAATTAACGCCGATGACGTCACGCATGCCGTTAAGATAGGATGATGTCATAGTTTATTTTAGCTGGCTGACGTCATGCATGTCATATAGATAGGATGATGTCATAGTTTATTTGTAGCTGGCAAGGAGCAAGTGACGTCAGAATTTCCTAGAGTTGACGTCATCAAAAATGTTGAGATCATAATCTATAAACAGAAAAGTGATTTTTATATAATTAGCTATTTGCTACAGTCTTCTGATTAGATATTGTTTGCTATAGTCTTCTGATTGGATATTGTAGAAACTGTTATGTGTTCAAAATAAAAGCGGGCAAATTTTGAACGTGTTATTCTTTGCAGATTATACTAAATGAAAAATCTTTAATCATTAAATTATTTTCACTAAAAATCGGTTATAAACAAAACCAAGACACGGAGGTTAACTGAAAAATCTTTACTTCAAAAGAAGGGAATAGGAGGTTAAGCGAATGCGAAATCGTACAAATTTTTCAGGCAAAACATGAAAACGAGGTCGAAGCTTAGCGAAGCGAAAAACTGCCTATCAAGCAAAAACGTCATTTTATGTTTACTTGACTCTGTAGAAAGTATTGCACAGGGTATGAAAATTCTACAAACAAATTCTAATTCTAAAAACAACAGGTGGTTCTAAAGTAAACCCTAACTCTTTTGGTTCTTAAATCAACCCCATTCTTGTTCCTAATGAGTGGAAAGTCTATTTATAAAAATAGGAATAAGAGGTGCGATCCCCTAGCAACACATGTCTTCTCATTTTGCGCTAAAAATCGGATATATAACAAAACACACACACACACGTACAAAAAATGGAGCTGAAAACTCTCTATTTCAATTTTGACTCACCATTACAAAAGCGTTTTCTCCGTTCCATCTCGAGGAAACGACTGACTATTGAAATCTCAGCGCTTGATGAGCTTATGGTTTTGTCAATTTACGTGCCGTTAGCGTTAGTCAGTTAATTATGCCGGTTAACAAGCCTAAAGTTGAATACAAATTAGTTCATCTCTACAGCTAGACCCAAGGGAGCACCTTGACTTATTATTGTAAAAACACAAACAATAAATAACTTAACAAGGATCAATTTAAACACGCGACAAATAAATTGACAAGACACGAGATACAGTTTTAAAAACTTTATTGAAAACCAGTGACAAAAAGAGTCAAATACACAGCGATTTGGAAGGGATGGAAATTAGACCTCCTCTTCGTTCTCCTCTTTAGAAGGTGAATAAAAATTGGTTTCCAACGTCTTGGCGTTTTTGTGTGTAATTAATCCACAATCGTGACACCGAAGAAAGCCCTCTTTGATGTATTTTCTCTCCTCGGGGATCTCGTGATCGCATATAGGACAAATCTTGTAGTTATCGTGCCAAAAGCATTTAGGGCATTTCATAATCAATGTGGAGTAGACATTAGAGTTTTCGCAATGTCCACAGGGACTTTTAGAGTGAAAGGTGGTGGACGTTTCAAGGCTACTACTTTCTGTTTCCTCACTATCATCAGTGTCGTTGTCGCTCTCTTGGGTGCCTTCAGTTTCAACGCCATTCTCAGAAGCCACTTCCTCCTCCTCCTCCTGGTTTTCAATATCCGATGAACTCTCCTCATTATTACTCTCATTATCGGAAGTAAATTCTACATTTCGGTAGCCTTTTTCCTTTATATTAAATCACTTAACAATTTTTTGTTCTTGATTAAACCTTTATCGATTCCTAACTCTGCAAGTCCATCTAGAAACGTATTCAGCGCACGAGGCTTGGTAACCTCATTGTTATGAGGAAGTAACACATACTCAACTAGCTCAGCGATGTTTGTGACGGGAATAGTGCGTTTATTTCGAAATAATTGTCCGCTGGGAGTCCAGAAAAGAATATCTTTGGACGCGGCCATACTATGCAGCAAATCAGAAGCACGCTTTACCGACACTGCTCGGGAAAGATGACTCAAAACATCTTTTATTCTTGGTTCTTCTTTTATTCTTAGTTCTTCATCCTCGCTTTCATCACCGGAACTTTCGCTTTCTTCATGTTCACTCTCGTGTTCTTCTTCAACCAAATCTATCTTTCTCTTCATTTTGATGAGTACCCGTGACAGACCGTAGCTTCAAATGAGTAACTTATAGTTTCGTTTCCTCTTTTGTAGCATCAAAAATCCTAGGCTTGTAACAGCAGGTACCAATAGGTCTTGAATAAAACCATCGCCCTCTTGTACAAGGATTCGCTTCTTTGTTTTGTAAGGGACATTTGTTTCTGCTAGGTTCACTAGAGCATCCTTATATGGCAACACGTTCCGCTTATTTTCTTCGGGGATAAGAATGTATTCCTTAAGTATATTGTATAAGACTTGGACTAATGCATGTAGTTGTTGTGGACTGGCTGTCCGTAAAAGAAACTGTCGCTGATGAGCTGGACAAATAGCTAAGAGTTGAAGAAAACCACGATTGTTCTTGACAACTCGAGACATTGCGACAAACTAAACTTATCATTGTAGTTTGCAGTCTTTTATTGACTGTCGTGGAGAAAAACAATGGAAATGTGGTGGCGGTAGAGGGAAAACAATAGAAATGTGGTGGCGGTGGTGGCGGTGGTGGAGGGGAAACAATAGAAATGTGGTGGCGGTGGTGGTGGTGGAGGGAAAACAATAGAAATGTGGTGGCGGTGGTGGTGGGGGTGGTGGAGGGAAAACAATAGGAAAGTGGTGGTGGTGGAGGAAAACTATTGAATTGTATAGCCTTCAAAACTATGTCAATGCGCATTATGCTAACATTTTCTCAGTCTACATTCTGCTCCTGAGGAGTTAACATGAGTTGGCTCTGTTCTGTCTGTGAAAAGTCCTTTAGTAGAAAGGATAGCATGCAAAGGCACGTGATGTCTAAACACTGCAATGCTGGTCTCACCCCATTTCAAACAGTTCCAATATTTTCACAGAAATGTCAGCGGTTTCGCTTCGAGCACCCTTTCACCTCCATGATTGCCGGAATGACCGGGTCCGGAAAAACGGCCTGGGTTCGATCGCTATTGCAACAAGCTTCAGAGACCATTTACCCTCCCCCGGAGAGAATCGTTTGGTGTTATTCACAATGGCAGCCTGCGTATACACAAATGTTAGTCGCCATGCCAAACATTGAATTCGTCAAGGGAATTCCTACGGCTTTGGAGCAGGATTCCTATTTTGATGTGAACAAACGGAATTTGATCGTGTTTGATGATCAGATGATTGACGCTAGTAAAGATAAGCGAATTGTGAACCTCTTTACTCGTGGTTCTCATCATCGCAATCTGAGCGTGATTTATATCGTGCAGAATCTATTTCATCAGGGGAAAGGTAGCCGCAGCATAAGCCTAAACAGCCATTATCTGGTGTTATTCAAGAATCCAAGAGACAAATTGCAAATCTTGACTCTGGCGAAGCAAATGTATCCCGGGCAGACGGATTTCTTTTTAAATCAGTATGAAGAGGCTGTAAAAAGACCTTTTGGTTATCTTCTGATTGATCTAAAAACAACTACCCAAGATAATTGTCGGTTGCGAACAAACGTCCTGCCCAGTGAAGAAGGCTTTAACCAAGCAGGGTTTCAAGAAAATATTCCACAAGAGCTCCTAAAATATCTGAAGCAGCAAACTCTTTCGCCTGTCCCGCTTCTTTCAGCTATGCAAGAAATACACGGCAACATGGATGACGTGCTTTCTCGAAACGATCTTCGGGACGATGAAAAAGCTAAACGATACCTTCAGTTGCAAAACAGATACCTGGTTTTTAAAGAACAATTAAATACAAGAACACGACCGGGAGAAATAATCAGCTCTGTTCCAGACTTAACATCAAGGACACAAGATTCTTCGACAGCAGCGACAGCATTCTCGACTCCCCTCAACCCCTTTAATGTAACACCTGAATTAACACAAGCGGCTATCTCTCAAAAACCTGACAAAGAAAGCCTCACCCCTCCACCACCCTTAAATCCTGCTCTCCTGACCCCTCCTCCCACAGTAGAAACCCCATCACAACAAGGCCCGAAGCGCAAAAGGCGTCGAATTCAATTTGTAAATTATTTGGATGATCATAAAGCCCATGCCAAACAGCTGAAGAAACATCGGCATAAGAAATTCAAACCTTACAAGTACTCCATGGGCGAAGAAGATGAAGATTAATTAATTTCCATCCCTTCCAAATCGCTGTGTATTCGACTCTTTTTGTCACTGGTTTTCAATAAAGTTTTTAAAACTGTATCTCGTGTCTTGTCAATTTATTTGTCGCGTGTTTAAATTGATCCTTGTTAAGTTATTTATTGTTTGTGTTTTTACAATAATAAGTCAAGGTGCTCCCTTGGGTCTAGCTGTAGAGATGAACTAATTTGTATTCAACTTTAGGCTTGTTAACCGGCATAATTAACTGACTAACGCTAACGGCACGTAAATTGACAAAACCATAAGCTCATCAAGCGCTGAGATTTCAATAGTCAGTCGTTTCCTCGAGATGGAACGGAGAAAACGCTTTTGTAATGGTGAGTCAAAATTGAAATAGAGAGTTTTCAGCTCCATTTTTTGTACGTGTGTGTGTGTGTTTTGTTATACATCCGATTTTTAGCGCAAAATGAGAAGACATGTGTTGCTAGGGGATCGCACCTCTTATTCCTATTTTTATAAATAGACTTTCCACTCATTAGGAACAAGAATGGGGTTGATTTAAGAACCAAAAGAGTTAGGGTTTACTTTAGAACCACCTGTTGTTTTTAGAATTAGAATTTGTTTGTAGAATTTTCATACCCTGTGCAATACTTTCTACAGAGTCAAGTAAACATAAAATGACATTTTTGCTTGATAGGCAGTTTTTCGCTTCGCTAAGCTTCGACCTCGTTTTCATGTTTTGCCTGAAAAATTTGTACGATTTCGCATTCGCTTAACCTCCTATTCCCTTCTTTTGAAGTAAAGATTTTTCAGTTAACCTCCATTTCTTGGTTTTGTTTATAACCGATTTTTAGTGAAAATAATTTAATGATTAAAGATTTTTCATTTAGTATAATCTGCAAAGAATAACACGTTCAAAATTTGCCCGCTTTTATTTTGAACACATAACAGTTTCTACAATATCCAATCAGAAGACTATAGCAAACAATATCTAATCAGAAGACTGTAGCAAATAGCTAATTATATAAAAATCACTTTTCTGTTTATAGATTATGATCTCAACATTTTTGATGACGTCAACTCTAGGAAATTCTGACGTCACTTGCTCCTTGCCAGCTACAAATAAACTATGACATCATCCTATCTATATGACATGCATGACGTCAGCCAGCTAAAATAAACTATGACATCATCCTATCTTAACGGCATGCGTGACGTCATCGGCGTTAATTTGAACTATGACATCATCCTATCTTAATGAGATGCATGACGTCATCTGCGTTAATTTATACCGCAAAAAAAGTTAATTAAATCCGCAAATCTACTACTCAGGATACTCACTCCCTTGTTCCTTGTGATTTCGCAAGGCTTTTTTTACTTCCTGTGCAAAAAGTTTACTACTTCCATCCTTCGTGGGAGATTCGTGACTTCCTGTCACGAACCCCGAGTAAGGTCATCATTTTTCATTGCTTTTCTTTTATTTCGATTTGTTATCTGTCCATCTATGCTACGCCGAAAGTGACAAAATATCAAAGATGCAACTATATAATTCAAATCCACAAATTCACTATCAAGATCGATACAATTAGCATCAACTTGCTTTTTGAATGTGTAAAGATTGTAGAATTTAATTTCAATTCCCACGTGTTTCTTGTCATGTATCAAGAGATACGTTTTTGTAAATCAAGATGCTTGTTTTCGTAAATCAATCTTGACACATTCAAAAACGCAAGTTGATGTTTATTGTATCGATCTTGATGGTGAATTTGTAGATTTGAATTATATAGTTGCATCTTTGATATTTTGTCACTTTTGGCGTAGCATATCCGTCTCTTGAGTCAAGCTGGAACATCATATTATTCACCCAAACTGCTTTCTTTTCTTTTGTTTTTTTATTTTTTAACCCTTTTTTTGTGCGTGCTAAACTACACATTTTTCATGCGGTTTTCACATTCATCTGATTATGATGATGTCATGAATGATTCGTGGTTTAGCTAAACCTCCAAAATCAGAACTTATCCTCTTTATTTCTCAACGTGGTTGTAGCTTACGTCACCAAAACGTTTCACGGGTGTGCCTCAAGTGAAACACGTCTCAGCTTTTGATGAAATAAATACGCCGTTATTGACTCATTGGACAGATAAGAAGAGCTGTCCGATTCTTCGACTTTTGTTTGGGAATAATACCAAGCGCACATACACTTTCTCAGTCAAAATGCTACGTTTTTGTGACTTGATTTTAAAGGCATTTCTGGTGGCTTTCTTTACGAAAGGAGCATTTACAATTGGTAAGTCCAAAGAAAGGCAGAACCTAATGCACTAGTCAGCGGAAACTGGGCCCATTCAATTCTGCAAAACTGACCGTATATTACTTTGCAGAACTTAGTGTGTCTGCTTTGTATATTTTTGCTCGAGCAGGTCTTCTCTATATCCTACTACGCTTCTGCGGCATAGTCGTTTGCGGTCCTTTGCAGTTTATGTCGATTTAGTACATTTCTTTATATGTTTTTCTTGTACATCTCTTTACCGTCAATGCACGACTACGACATGAACATGGACATGAACACAAGGCAACGTCTTTTAGAATTAAATTCCAGAAAAAATTGTCAACATTTGACGAACTGGACAACAGGATTTTACTTTCAGAGAAGTTTAGACAACATGGAATAAGCGCCATAAAGTTTGAAGCAGCGCAACTGTACCTTTTAAGTGACATTTTCGTATGTAGCAGTAGCCGCCACCGTCGTTTTTGCTTAATCTCCCTATTTTTACATCACAGCAGCACTTGTGTCCTCCGCCTCTAAGAATTTTTGCCTCAAATGTAACTTTTTAGTATTACTAGTATTTTCAGTAACACTTTGAAAAACCAAAAGTTGCATTTACATCGATGAAAATCAATCAATAATGATACAGTTTTAAGAAAAGTCGCCATACTAGTCTTCTCTAGTGTATCCGTGGCCGGAATTATTGAAATAGAGTGCAATTTAACGAAGGCAATTAACATTTGTGGTTACTTAAGGTCTACCAAAAAAAAAATTCCACTCTCGCACACTTGATCCCTTGAATGCGTGTCAGCTAATGGGCGAACGGAATAACTGCATGTCCAGATCACGATTTTTGCGATGATGTTGCTTGTTTCGTTAACAAGAGGCAACCCAACCTGCCGCTTTAGTCTTCAGGCCATTCGTGATCCTCTTTTAGCCTGTTGTTTTATAGTTAAAAAAGATATCATTTCAGGATATTACAGTCAATTGAAAGTAAAGTGCTAAAATATATCACTTACATTGTATGATATCCTGGCCCCCTCAACAGCTCAAACAGCGAGTTGGTGTGCTGGCTATCCAGGAGAGGTTTTAGTTTTCTAATAATTCTCCTTTATTCACAGATGTTGTAAACGAAATTGATATGTTCAAGGAATTTGGACTTCTTGTCAAACCTCTCCCACAAGGCGTCACTTCAACACAGGGACAAAACAACAGCAGCGGCGCCTTTCGCTTTACCACACAAGCTCAAAACCTCGTTGCAAATCAGACCGCTTTTAATAACACAGACACGCTTATTCACGACAGTAAAGATTTTTGGGTCTCTGCATGGGTCAAGCTTGATGCAAATGACTTTAGCGGCAATACCATCCTCTCAATTAGCTCTGCAGACGGAAATGACCTGTATTTCAAGCTGAAGATATCGTGAGTTAAACTGAAATTAATTGTAAATACTTTGTCTTCCTCTTCCCTCTGTCTTTCGAATATGGTGACATAGCCTACAACTGTCCTCATTTAAATCCCAAATCTTTTTTAAGGCCGAGGCACTCGGTTGGAGTTTACTCCAGCCAAAAGGAGATTGAGTATATTTCTGCTTCCAATAGTGCTAGTTTCACAATTTACTCTATTTCCCCTCCTCCCTCCCATTCCTAACACTTTACGGGCTTCCTGCCTTGAGTTTCGGAAGGCTCTGCGATACACGTATTTCTAGTTTCAGAAATAATACGTCATAATAAAGCGGTTGAATCACACAATCGCCTGGGGCCAGCCGGGGAAAAACACCCTCTGCGTGTCGTTTTTTTGCGAAAGGGTATACTCCAAGTTTGTTCGTTCTGTTGTTTCTGAGAAAAGTAAGAGACTGTTTACAGTCTAGTGGTGATGTAAGCAAATGTCGCTTTATTTTCAGAGGTGTCAGTGACAGAGGTGGCCTTAAGGTCGTCGTTTCAGTGAGGCAGCCAGAAGAGGATGATCCCAAACGCATCGAAGCATCATCCGCTGACCACGAGTTGGATTACCGCAAATGGAACAAAGTCGCAGTACGGTTGCAAGAAGGCGAGCGGGTTATTAGGATTTACATTGACGACATGGTCAACCCCGCAAAAGTGGACATGTTATCTGGTATCGCTCCCTTTCCCAAAAATGCTCAACTCCGTCTCGCTCAAGAATTATCAAAGGGGGGAGAGAACCAACTTACTATCATAGATAAATTCAAGGTAAAATATCCTAAACGCCGAAAATTTTTTCAGGCAAAAAGACGGAAGTGAATTGACCACTCCAGAAAATACCATAACATACCATAATGCTCTTTAATTGTCACGCCAAAATTTTGCATAAGCATTGTTCTCACTTTCTCTTGGAACTATTGTAACTCCCAAGAGAAACTGGAGACAATGCTTACCCAACATTTTGGAGTGACAACGAAAGAGCATCATGGTATGTTATGGTATTTTCGGGAGTGGTCAATTGCTCAATGACACGTTTATGATAATTAAATTTCTTTTCTTTTTTCCAGGGAGATCTTCAAGATGTGAAGCTTATGAGAGGAAATTTGAACGATTGTCCTCCTCTTACTACGGTAATTTGACGAGATTAAAAACCTAAAAACTGCGGTAAAAGGCCAAATGAAGAAAACTTAAAAACCCAAACCTTAACTATCGTAAAGGGAAAGTTCACCTCCCAACTCTAATTTTCAAGTACATTTGGGACATCCTTGTAAACTGACTTAAAACTTTGCGGATATTGAACTTCTTCCCAGTCAGTGAGCAGATACAGCAAAACCAGAAACGGAAAAGTTGATGTGGATTTAAAACTGGAATGGTTTTCTTATTTACAAAATTCCAAAACCAAAAGGAAAAATCGTCCAGTCACCACTTAAGGATGCAAATCGTAACTGAAATCTTTTCACAAAATGCTAACTGAAGTCGTTTGACCTCCCTTATTCTGAAGCAAAAAAGCTGTTATCTTTCAAATCCTCTAGGCATCGGACTCGACACATAGCCCCCCACGCAGACGGTCTAAGGGGTACGTCAGTGGGGCAGGAACGCGTGACGAACCCCTAACAACGTATGCAGGGGGGGCTAACTGGACACGATTCCTTTTTCAAACTGTGACAAAGCAAACCTTTTACAAACAGTTGTCCAATTTTTTAGCCGTTTTACAGCTAACAGAAGACTACAAATCACTCGGTTTAACCGCTCCTCGTAAAACGCGAAGGGCCGGCACAATGGCTCCCTCCTCCCTATTTATTTTTCACCCTCATAGCTCGCATTTTGACCATGTTAAAATACTGATGTACTGCAGTCTGCACGTGCTAAACCCTTTTGAGACTCTCAACCAACCATGCTGCTGTTTGTTCCAATGCAGTGCAAATGTTCTGACGCGTTACAGCAAAAGAAATGCGTGATGGACGGCCTTAGGTATGACGACGGAGCTCGATGGACCAAAAACAACTGCACCGTTTGTAAATGCGAGGTGAGTGTGCGCATTATAGAGCGGATTTCAGGGTGGGTTTTGATTGATTCAAAACAAGCACGCGCCAAATTGTTTTAATTTGGCCACGACTTCGTGGTAGGTGTTTTCCCGCGCTTGGCAGCTGCTGCATGTATTTGCTTGGAGATCTGATTGGCTCATTTCATTATCTGTGTGTACCGTGATTGGCCGAAGTTGTTGCTTTGATTACAACAACGACAATCTCTCTTTGTAGAAATACAATTTAAAATATCTATTTTTTATGAACTAATTGAGCCTGTCCACAGTCTCTATTTATTTACTTATTTGATTAACTAACTACTTAATTTTTTTGGTGTGTTTTCAGTCTGGACATATGACCTGTACTTACACGTGTAAAGTCTGCGTAGACGATGGACAGCAGTATCTCCAGGACGAGACCTGGAAAATGTCCAATAACACCTGTTACACTTGCCGCTGTCAGGTAATGATAAGAAGTAACAGGCTGTAAGTTTTCGTGAAGGTACTGAGAAAGGGAAGAAAGCACGTTTTCGTTTGCGAACACAATTTCTGTCAGGTGCTACTAGCCTTCGAATACAACAGTCACTCCTTGTTCCTCGCCTCTAGGGACGTTTCGCGGGAGAGGCGTCAACGTCCCAAGCGGCGATGAGCGAGGAGAGACGGTTGTATTCCCAAGCTAAGCTGCTACTCCCATTTGATGAAAATGAAGCTCTTTTTTTCTTTCTTTCTTTCTTCTTTTTCTCCTTCTTTCCTCTCTTCCTGCGTCCTCTATTGACTCTTGTTGGTTGTTTGTAATTGTCTGAAAATCCTTAGGATGAAGGCAGTGGCAGTGCCAAACCCCTTTCACTGATTTTAAGGTTATCTTTGGATATATAGCAGTAAAAAAAGCAAAAATACGATATCTACACACGACCTACGTTAATCTTACATAGAATGAATAAAATGAATAGACTTGCCTAGTAGTCCATTCCACCACACATTTAATTGGTGCCTTTCTTTCTCTCTCTCGTCTCCTTTCTTTCTTCTTCTTTCTGTCTTTTTTGCTCCTGTGAGTCAAAAACGTCGTCAGTGCAGAGTTAATACAATGTTTGCTATTTCAGGATGGTCAATCCACTTGTAATCCCCCTTCCTGCCCAGTAACCAACTGCCCGTCTGGAAAGACCGTTTTACCTGAAGGAGAATGCTGCGAGATTTGCAAAGGTACTAGTTTTTCTTGTCGTTTTTTGGTCTCCATGGAGCTAAAAATGTTCTAGCCATTCACAGACCCTCTATTCTCTCTTTAAAGATCGTCGAAAGCGCGTGTGAAAGGAAAATCGCACGCTCGCCTCGCTCGCTGAGCCCCAAATTTTCGGGGGGAGGGAAAGAAAGAAAAACGTCTGTGAACAGGCTAAGAATGTTCCCATACAAGCGGTAAACACGTAGCTTCCGAGAGCATGTACACAAAGCACCGCATTAAATGAAGCTGCCCGCGCAAGTTTCCCTTTTCTTTTTTACCTGTTTTCTTTTCCTTGTGGCACTTTTTTTTCTTGCTGGTGCCGTCTGCTCGTGCTTTCTGGCTTTCTCTTCGTCTTCTACCCCCACATGAGAGTTTTGTTCAGAGAATAGTTTTTTTACTACTTGTGGCATCACGATTTTGTTTTTTTATTTTAGAGAAATACTGTGAGAGAAAAGGAAAAGAATATAATTCATGCGGCTGTGAAAAGACATGTGTCAACCCTTCGGGATCTTGCAGTTCGTGCAAGGAAGGTTGCTTCTGTAAACGAGGCGAGATTTTGAACTCGCGAGGGGAATGTGAGGCTAACAGCAATTGTGGTTGCATTTACAAAGGAAAGGAATATAAGGTAAGTCCCATTCGCCCTTGCTATCTCCCGTGAGAGCTGAAATGGCGCAGTCGTTAGAGCCCCCACCTCCCACCAATGTAGCCCGGGTGCAAATCCCTGAGTGTCGGTGTCGTTTTTGGGTTTAGTTTGTAGTTGGTTCGATTCTCTCCCTTGCTCCTGGAGGTTTTTCTTCGGGTACTCAGGTTTTCCCGTCTCCTCAGAAATCAACATTTCCAAATTCCAATTCGATCTGGAACGGATCGGACAGACACATTCAAACGAGTTCTTAAGAACTCCCAAGTGCTTCATAATTACAAAATTGCAAAAGGAGAGAGTAGAAAGCTTCAAAACAAGACCTTCATATAGTTGGGATTCTTTGGGCTGCCGACTGGGCCATGCAGGGGTTTATTATTTTGGGACGTATAGATTATAATTACACTTTTTACCGGCTTGAGTGTATAGCTACTCTTGATGGGAATAGCCTTTTGAAGCAAGAAACGATTAGCATTATTTTTAACTACCATTTCCACAACTCACCTCCTTCTCCTATCCCTATGCCCCCCAAAATATAGTATGACAGTACTAACGTCACTAATCTCATCTCACCGGAAATTCCAGTATGAAAAGGAAAGACTTTTAACACGCAGGGAGAGAACTGCAACAAGCTGAAGCATTTCCCGTGGAAACCGTGGGAGGGTATTGTTTTTGCAGCTCCCACGCGCGCAGGTTAACTTCCTCATTCGAATACCGTATTTAGATAATCGTATGGCGTGGATATAGTATAGGGCCAATAACTCCGCCCAATAATTTTGTGTTCGTTTCAAATCGACTTCTAAATGTGTTCGCCAGACGACCTGAAATGACCCGTTTCCTCCCCGCAAAATCAGCTCCATTGATGGGGGAATGGGGCACGTAAAGCCTTCTGGGAGTTTCGTCTGCCATTTTGTCTTTTCACGACATAGATGAAAGGTAATTCTTGATTGGGCGTTGCTCTGACGGGCATCCCAATAATCATCCTGGTAAGAAGGATTTCCTTTACATTTAAGACAAATCTGCTCGAACATTGTCATGAGCTCTCAGTAAGTGGTTGTATAACGCACAAAGAGTAAATCTACATCGTTGGTTATCAAAAATTTTAAACATGAGGCTTTTCAATTCTCCATCCATGCCCGGAAGGGTGCTCAACAAATTTTTGTACGGGGCGGCTCCGCCCAGAGGTCCAACCCCTTACCTTTTTATATACGATTTTTTTTTTTTTAAGAAAAAGGTACCCCTTTCACATACCTTCTTTAGAACTTTGCATCTCTTTGCGTTCGAGGTACGAGAACGCAACCCCTAATTTGTGTTGGGTGTTCTGTTCCTTAATGGTTGTCCTGTGCAATTAATAAGGGAGGTTATTTTGAGATTGCATTTTCGTCGTCGTCGACACACATTTGCCTCACTTTGAAGTGCTTGCTTACGTTTTGTCTCACTTTGACGCGCTAACTCACGTGGTGTTTCGTGTGTCCTCAGCGTTCATCTTTTCAAAGGTTTGCTTACGTCTGATATTCTGTCTTCGTAAAGCGTTCATCTTTTAAAAAGTTTGCTGAAACTTCCAAAGCGTTCATCTTTCAGAAGTTCGCTGTTAAATTTTACTTAGGATTAAGCCTTCATAATTTTCAGCATGGTTCGCCGTCACTGTCTTAGAAAATGTGTGCGATTCCATTCCTGGTGCATGCATCAAACCGGGTTTAGTTCGGCTGCCTTTGTGTCACAAAGTAAATCTACTGAGTTGTGAAGCTCGGCAGCTGTTGTGCCACAAAGTAAATCTACCGAGATGTGAAGTTCGGCGGTGCCATTCGATCATGACTTGTAATATTTTCGGCACCAGGCAAACGAACACTTTAACTCTATGTTATTTATTAGGAAAAACTTATAAACCAGCCCACAATAGCGGCACTCTCGATTCGTTGAAATCAACACGCTCGACAAAATTACTGGAAAAGTTATCGACGTGAGCCGCACACACATTCCGCTGAAGGCTTTGACAGGATTAGTGCGAAATTTGAATTCAGGTGTGAAAGCTTTTAAAAAAGTAAATTCAGTTTAATTCATTTTGTCGACAAGTTGATGATTGGATGCTCTTAAAAATAACAGAGAAAATTATCCGAAGAAATATTTTTGAAGAAGGAAAAAGAATCCCGGGTTAAGCGCTAATCGTCCTTTGAACAACTGCGCCCTGTAATCGCGCCAGTAAAACAAAAGTTAAAATGTTCTATTTACACGCCCGACGCACTCTGGCCACTGTCTCCTCCGATTACAAGCATTTGACACCAAAACATATTATTAGTTTCGTTGTACGCAACCCTTACGTTCAAAATATGCTATAATCATATTTATTTATCGCAAGAGCCATCCAATCTTCCCCCTCAACTGTTACCCGCCTGTACGCCTAACAAACATATCGAACGCACTCTCCTAAGCTCCGATTACTCCTAGTTTAACTCTTGTAAATGCACTGTCATTTAAATAGGAATCAATCACAAAAATAGAACGTTTTCTCGACTTTATAAAACCATAAAATTCATTCATCATTTCTGCTTCCTACCCTGTCATATACCTGAAGCATGAAAAAGGTACCCCTTTCGTGCGGAGCTTCCCCGTATAGACCATTATAAGGAGTCCCCCCCCCCATCCATGTTAACAGCCGCTTAGTTTCTTTCGATTCTCGATTCTTACTAATAAATTTTTTTTTTCTCTTAACAGTCTGGGGGTCATCACTTAGATAAGTGCACCTACCTCTACTGTGCTGGTAAAAAGCCGACTCTGCACAATTTTTGCCGCAAATAAACCTTATGGCCATCGACTTAGAAGAAGAAAGTGAAGCGGAAGCAAGTGGAATTAGCGAATTACTTTGTACGTTTTTTGTACCAATTCGGTGTCAGACCATAATCAAATGTATTTTTGCGCCTCTAAAATCTTATTGTAATTTCTTTTCTGTTCCAAATTCCTCTTGTCACTGATCAGATTCCATTTCCTTGATGAAAATGGGCACACATCACAAAATTTCCGCTTTTCCATTTTGTGTGCCTCGTTTACTTGTTTGTTTGTTTGCTTTCGCTTGTAAACGCATTTCCTTTCCCTTGATTCACTTTTTTGTTTTTTAGTAGAAAGGACAAATATTTTTGGTGTTGCAATTTTGTAGGTTTTGGAAAATGAAATGGTTTAATTTGTTTCATTCGTGTCGAGGGGCATCTTTTTAATTAGCGATTTCTTTTTCCTGTGTAAGTCCTATCCTCCTGCTCCTACTTATCTCCAGCTAGAACTTTAGATGGCTCCAGGGAAAATTCCATAGGCAACAGGACCGTGCCAATTCCGCTTTTTCTGCTTCCACTGAACGCAGAGATATGAAAGTTCACTTCCTGTGAGAAAAATTGTGATTAAAAATTATTAATATCATTATATATCAACTTTTATTATATAGACACGAGTGTTTTACTGGAAAATATACCACTGGTAAACTTCATAAAAACTACATCCGGGACCCCAGTGGTTTATTTTCCATAATCTCACACGTGAGTTTATCGATGACGTAATTTCGGTCATTTCCCTCTATTATTTTATCAATGTCTTTTTGTCTATATAATAAAAAGAACATTACACGGCGGCTTGAAGATATGAATTTTATTTTCGAGTGGCAAAAACAATATTTTACTCACTCGCTGCGCTCGTTCGTAAAATATTGTTTTGCCACTCGAAAATAAAATTCATATCTTCGCGCCACCGTGTAATATCCTCTATATATTTGTTTTGCTGTAACTTAATTGTAATTTACTTGAGTGATTCTAAGTATAAAGTAGGTTTTGCTCACGTTATAGTTTAGGCTTTCACTATTGAAACCAAGAGAGCAATGGCTTTGCTAAACGGCGTTATAAGAAGCTGGCATTAAAACAAGTGATGAACGACAGCGTAAAGAAGTACTGTAAAACAGATTCCAAGGTTGTCTTTGTAATAAAATGGGTTTCGTATTCATTGTGTGAGCCTGCCATTTCCGAGGCTGTAAAACCGCTGCCAGACTGTGTTTGTGTGAACAGTAACTGTCGTAGAAGTTTCTTTTCCTGAAAATACATTCTTCGTTTATCGTTTCTTGTTCGGTTCAATTGCATATAAACACCTTAATTAGCTCTTATAAAATTGGCGTGTTGAGAGTGAGCAGATTGTCGAGCTGACTCAGATCTCGTGATTCAAGCTGTTTGGCAAGAATGTAGTTCAACCAACATCAATTTAATATAGTAAACTTTCTCAAAATAAAACCTACTTACACTCACCCAGTAGGAGGTTTGTTGAAGACCGCCGGCGCAAGAGAACGCAATGTTGATCGAGCACCTGATTTTCCTCCCCTTGGTCCCCTTCTAAGCGGCCATCAAACAAGCTTTGCTCTACTTTTAAAATCAATTTTATATCTAACGTTGTCTGAGCAACACAGTTAAGATGGATAGCTCCCTCAGTAAGCAGGCACTAAGAGCTGGTCCCTACGGTACCGCTCTGCAGTCATTTTTCTATAGCCGAACTCCCTTAAAGACGGACACCTCCAAATCTCTATAAAGGCTTTTTTCTTTTTAACGGAAGGGAAATCTTAGTCTTAAACAATTTCTTGTTTCAGTTGTAATGAGTAAAGACCTATATCACTAAATTGCCTTTTATTGTACATGTATGTAGTGTATATGTACCTTTAGGTCTACTCAGCTTTCTTAAGAATTGGCTGTAGTCACGTTACCTTGGATCATTAAATTAGACAGCTATTTACAGTGTAACATGAAAACTATAATCTTGGGGAAAAATTGTCCAGAAAAACGCATGTTGTATGTCAAATTTAACATTAAAGTTCTTTAAAGCACTATCGATTTCACAATTCGCGATTTATTTCGCAAATATTTCCTAATTTTTCACCAAAATCAAGGACTAATCCGCTTTGGAAAAATTCTAATTTTGTGACTATTATAAAAATACCTTTTTATAGGCTAGAAAGTCCTCTTTTCTATCCAGAATATCAACCAACCATATTTCTTGGCATATTTTGCCCAAAAACGTGCCATGAAATTAATTCAAGTTTTTAACCAAATCATGGATTAACCTCTAGAAAAATTCCAATTTTGTGACTACTATATTTTTTTTTCTAGAAAGCCTCCTTTTAAAGGAAAATAAAGGGAGATGTAAAGAATCGACCATAAGAGGACACAGAAAAAATCTGAGCCCCAGATGGGATTCGAACCCACGACCCTCCGTGTTTTGGTCGTCGGTTCGAATCCCATCTGGGGCTCTGATTTTTTCTGTGTCCTCTTATGGTTGATTCTTTACATCTCCCTTTATTTTCCTTTATAATTAAAGCCTCCTTTTCTCTGTAAAATATCAACAAACTTTATTTCTAGGCTTATTTTGGCCAAAACAAATGACAATTTTTCTACTTTTTTAAAAAATAATAAAATAAAAATAATAAAAATTGTTGAAAGAGGAGAGACAACACCTAAACTGGAAAGGAAAAAAAATACTAAGGATATGGATTACAATAATTCGTCACGGCGGTTTAGGCCATGAGGTTCAAGAGTCATGGCCTTATCTATCAAGTTCGAGTCACGTGAAGAATGAATTTTCTCTGGTGGGATTAACTGCATGTCAGTATGAGAATGGCTCCCTCCTCCCTATTTATTTTTCACCCCCACAGCTCGCATTTTGACCATGCTGTTGTACTGCAGTCTGTACGTCCTAAAGCCTTTTGAGACTCTCAACCAACCATGCTGCTGTTTGTTCCAATGCAGTGCAAATGTTCTGACGCGTTACAGCAAAAGAAATGCGTGATGGATGGCCTTAGGTATGACGACGGAGCTCGATGGACCAAAAACAACTGCACCGTTTGTAAATGCGAGGTGAGTGTGCGCATTATAGAGCGGATTTCAGGGTGGGTTTTGATTGACTCAAAACAAACACGCGCCAAATTGTTTTAATTTGGCAACGACTTGCTGGCAGGTGTTTTCCCGCGCTTGGCAGCTGCTGCATGTATTTGCTTGGAGATCTGATTGGCTCATTTCATTATCTGTGTGTACCGTGATTGGCCAAAGTTGTTGCTTTGATTACAACAACAACAATCTCTCTTTGTAGAAATACAATTTAAAATTTTTCGTTTTTTTATGAACTAATTGAGTCTGTCCACAGTCTCTATTTATTTACTTATTTGATTAACTAACTACTTAATTTTTTTGGTGTGTTTTCAGTCTGGACATATGACCTGTACTTACACGTGTAAAGTCTGCGTAGACGATGGACAGCAGTATCTCCAGGACGAGGCCTGGAAAATGTCCAATAGCACCTGTTACACTTGCCGCTGTCAGGTAATAAAACGCCTTTAATTGCGTGTGCTCGCCTTTGTCTGACCAGGCAGGTACATTCAGTTCTCTTTCAATGTTAAGATCATCGTTAACAAAGGTAAAATGGTTGATAAGCTAATGTAAATCATGAATTTTCATGAACTTATTGAAAAAGCGAAGAGAGCACGCGTTGTTAGTTTTCTGTTTTTGCGAAAGTATTTTTTTAAGATGCAGCTACCCCTCGATATTTCCTTCTTTTTTCTCTCTTTCTTTACTAAGATCTTTCCTTCGTTCTTTCTTTTATACATTGATTTGTTTCATCTTTTTTCTTTCCTTTCTTTTCTTCCTTGCCAAAGAGACGGTCGTCTTTCTCTTTCTTAAGTTCTGCCCCTTTTTCCCTGTCATTATGAACATGAAAAGTCGTCAGTACAGAGTTAATACGATCATGACGATATTCGCTGTTTCAGGACGGTCAATCCAATTGTTCTCCTCCTTCTTGCCCAAAAACCAACTGCGCGTCTGAAAAGACCATAATACCTGAAGGAGAATGCTGCAAGATTTCCAAAGGTACTTTTTTTTTTCTTTTCGTTCGTTCACAAACCCTCTATTCTCACTTTAGAGATCGTCGAAAGCGCGTATGAAAGGAAAAATCGCGAGCTAGCCTCGTTCACGGGGCCCCAAATTTTCGCGGTGGGGGGGGGGAGTAGGAGAAAGAAAAAAGTCTGTGAACAGGCTAAGAATGTTCCCATACAAGTGGTAGATACTTAGTTTCTGGGAGCATGTACTCAAAGCACCGTATTAAATGAAGCTGTCCTCGCAAGTTTCCTTTTTCTTTCCCCCCTGTTTTCTTGTCCTTGTGACACAATTTTTTTCCACTAGTGATGTCTGCTCGTGCTTTCTAGCTTTCTCTTCGTCTTGTACCCCACATGAGAGTTTATTCAGAGAATAGTTTTTTACTACTTGTGACATCACGATTTTGCTTTTTTTATTTTAGAGGAATATTGTAAGAGAAAAGGAAAAGAATATAATTTATGCGGATGTGAAAAGACATGTGACAACCCTTCAGGATCTTGCGCCGGTCAGTGCAAGGAAGGCTGCTTCTGTAAACGAGGCAAGGTTTTGAACACGCAAGGGGAATGTGAGGCTAACAGCAATTGTGGTTGCATTTACAAAGGAAAGAAATATAAGGTAAGTCCAATCCGCCCTTGCTATCTCCCGTGGGGAGCAAGAGTGGCGCAGTGATTAGAGCACTCGCGCCCACCAATGTGGCCTGGGTTCAAATCCTGCGTCGAAGTCATATGTGGCTTGAGTTTGTTGTTGCATCTCTACTTTGTTCCGAGAGTTTTGGGGGGGAACTCTGGTTTTCCCCTCTCTTCAAAAACCAACATTTCCAAATTCCAATTCGATGGGACAGGTCAAGTGGTTTTAACGAGTTTAACATGTTAAAACATGATTGCTGTTAAGTCAACACCGGAAGAATGGCGAAAA